TATTTTTAACTCGCCGCGAATCCACCCCTTACTCGTCGCCGCGACCGCGCGCGCGGCGACCACGATGCGCGATCGCACCGAGGACTTTCGCGCGCGCGCGCGCGCGCGCGCGTCGACGTCCGAGGCGCGCGCGCGAGCGAGAGAGCGGTCGACGAAAGATGAAGCGCGCGCGGCGATGTGTGCGATCGTGCGCGCGCGCGCGCGTGCGGCGCGCGCGGCGCTCGATGCGACGGCGGCGTACGTGCGCACGCACGGGCAGTCGTACGCGCGCGCGTCGGCGGCGACGCGGGACGCGTTCGAGGCGGAGACGGCGGCGTCGATCGAGGATTGTCAACGATGCGTCGGCGCGGCGAGAGACGCGATCGAACGGGCGAGGACGAGCGGTGGATTAGGACGCGGAGAGTGCGCGGCGCACTTGCACGGGATCGCGTTGACGCTGAGCGATCGATTGCGAGAGGTGGCGCGGGCGTTCGATGGGGTGCGAGAGCGGCGATTCGAGGAGACGCTGGCGCGGGCGGAGCGGGAACGTCAGAGACGACGGGCGGCGCTGATCGCGACGTACGACGTCGGCGAGGAACGGCGAGGGGTGGAGAGCGTGCGCGTTGAGGGGATTGAGCGTGAGCAGACGCAGGTGGCGGTGCGGCGACAAGATGGGTTGGAGGAGGAGTTGACGCAGTTGTTGGAGCAGGTGCGGACGGCGGAGAAAAACGTAATGGAGATGTCGGCGCTCAGTTCGTTGTTCGCCACGCACGTGCAGGCGCAGGCGCAACAGATAGAGACATTGTACCACGATGCGGTAGAGAGCTCGAGACACTTCGAGATGGGGAACGTCGAGATGAAGAAGACCATCGAGCGGAAGGGCGACGCGCAGCGATACGTCGCGATAATACTGTTCATCGCGACGTTCGGCTTGCTCTTCCTCGACTGGTACTCGGGATGAAGCTCGAAACACTCCGAACGCACTAGCTTTTGTTACAATCTACGTATATTATCTAGCTTTAATTTATTTGGCGCTGCTCGATGGGAGGGTCCGCGGAGACGACGAGCTCGAACGCCAGAGGCGGATCCGTCTTGAACGTGAGCGTCTCATCTGGGAACGGCATGACGAGCTCCAACGCGTGCAGGAACATTCTGAACGAATCCGAGACGCCGGAGTAGTACGCGATGTCACCCAAGATGGGGAAGCCCGAGTGCTGCAAGTGCACGCGAATCTGATGCCGTCGTCCCGTCACGGGTTTACACTGCAACAGAGTCACCTTGATCCCTCGATGCGCTCCGTCCAGGGTGCAGTAGCCGCGTCGTAACACCTTGAATCGCGTCTCGCTCGCCTTCCCACCCTCCTCATCCACGCGTTCTCGGAATCCTTTCGGACAGTTTGGATCTTTACCGAGTTTGGCGGTCGTGGTCCACTCGTCTCGCTCCGGCCATCCGTACACCACGGCGAGGTACGTCTTCTTCGCCTTGCGATCCCTGAAGAGCTTCGCCGCCGCCGCCGCCGCAGATTTGGTGTGCGCCGTTAGAATCACCCCGCTCGTCGCCGTGTCCAACTGATGACAAAACCGATGATGCATATTCGGATACGTCGCGTTCAACCAGTCCTCACAGCTCGCGTCGCCCTCCCATCTCGGCTCGAACCGCTTCTTCTCCGTCACGTTTCCATCCGCGTCGCTCTCCGTCCAACCTCGCGGGGTGTCCAAACGCACCGCGAACGGCTTGTTCACCGCGATGTACGCTTTATCGAAGCACTCGTACACCGTCTCGTACTTCCGCTCCAAAATCCCGGGTTGCCTCAGCGCCAACGCCGCCGCCGTCTCACTCCCGAGCTCGCCGCCGCGCTCCAAAAACTCCAAGTACGACATCCTGGGCGCGATCTCCGTCGCACAATCGTACGCGTTCACCTCCGGATGACGCAGGAGCATCTCTTCAACCGCTCGAGCGTCCGCACCGCGCTTCACGAGCAACGACGCGGCCGTTTCCCCGTGCTCCACCGAACTCGCTCGAAAAGTAAAAGTCGGAAGCTTTGGATGTTTCATCGCGCCGGTGCGCCGGTGATTCCTCAGAGGCGCCCGCGATGTCGTGTGCTTACCTCGACACACACCTACGACCGCCCGAGTGAGTCGCGAGACGCACATCAAGCGCGACGCGGTGTGTCGCCAAACGCAAACGCGACGGAGGACGCGGACGCCGCAGAGTCGGGCGTCGAGGCGAATCTCCGGGTGATGTTGGAAATCGGCGGTGACGGGAAGTCATCGTCGGTGAGACGACCGTCGTCGATGTCAACGGTGGACGCCTCGTTCGGGGTGCCGTAACCGTCTCGATCGTCGTCTTCCTCGGACGCGCTCGACGTCGCTCGCGGCTCGGGCGGCGGCGAGCGCGCGGGCGAGGCGGATGAACCGACGAGTAACGCACGTTCAGCAGCGCGCATAAACTCCGGTCCAGACGACCCTGATGCGCGACGCATCTCTCGAACCATTTGTGCGAGGAAATCACACTCGGCCTCGACGTGCGCGAGGCGTGCGCCACGCTCGGCGCTCTCGCGCTCGATACGTTCCAAATCCCGAAGCGAAGACCGCAGTTTGTCCCGATTCGAGCGCCCGCGTACGAGTTCCTTCTCGAGTCGCACGACTTCCTCACGCGTACGACGCTCGGCTTTCTTGAGCTCATCGATTTCATCGCGCTGCGTCTCCACGGTGACGACGAGCGCGGCGCGCTCCTCAAGCGTCTCCTTCAGTTTCGATCGGAGAGTCAACTTTTCGTCCGCCTCTTCATCCATGATCGCCTCCGCCGTCGCGCGCGTGCGCAGAGTTTTCCGCTCACGTTTCTCCATGACGAGTACGTCCTCTCGCGCTCTCGCGAGTTCGCCCTCGAGCTCGGCGATTCGCTCGAACGCTCGCGTTCGTTCTCTCCTCGCGCGCTTGTACTCGCGCATGAGCAATAACACATCCGCCGAGGAGCTCCCGTTACCCGCGCGTTCGCTCAACGTTCCCCAACACTTCGCCAACGCCGCGGATGAATCTTTCGGAATTTTCCCGACTTGGTCTCTCTCCCCCTCGCGCGTCGTCGTCGTCGCTCGAATCGTCGCCGCCACGCGTTCGTGCGTCGCCGCTCTCGCTCTCGCGCGCCACGCGTCCCGTTCCTCCTCCAACATCTTAATCTTCCCCTCCCGCGCGCGCACCTCCAACTTCAGCGCCGCCACTCTCTTTGAGCCATTCGCGCGTCCTCGCGCGCCACCGAGGCGAGCGATTCCAACTCTTTCGCGCGATCCACGCGCGCGTCGAGCCCGCGCGCAGCCGTCCCGCGCGCCGCGTGATTCTTCATCTTCACCGCTTCCGACGCCGTCTCGCCGCGCGACGTCTTCGCACCGACCACACCCGGTGTGACGTCACCCACGTCGCTCGCCCCCGCGCGCCGCGCGCGCGCATCGTCCGCGCGGACGTCGTCGCGATCGAAACGAGAATGAAAATCATCAATTCGCGCTTCGCTCGTCGGACTTCCTCTTCGCACGGCGAGTTCGCGCAGCGCGCGCTCGAGCGCCGCGCTCGACGTGTCGCTCGGAAGCTTAAATCGCTCCCTGAGATCGGCGATCGCGGCGTCCATGACGGACGCGTCGACGTGTGCGGCGTCGTTTCGCCGCAGCTGTCGTTTTGCTTTTTGAATTTCACCGCGCCGCACAGCGCGACGCGCGACGTTTTCCGACGGGCGTCGCGCGCGAAGGCGCGCGCGCGCATGCCGGCGTCGACGCGCGCGTCCTCGCGACGCGACGGCGCGGCGTCGACGAGCGGGAGAGACGAAGGTGATGGATTTATGAAATTTGAAATCCACGCCACGCGTTCGTCCAGAGCGTTCGTCACGTCTCGCGCGTGCGCGTACGACGGACCTCGAGGGCGGCGAAGCGGGCGCCAGGGGTTCTTCGACGCGTTCGCGCTCGGTGGATGGCTCGGCACGCGGTGCGCGCGCGATGGCTTCGGCGGCGCGGGAGGCGCGTTTGAAAGCGCCGGCGGACGGGCGGGAAGCGGGACGTACGCGTGCGTCGACGCGCTCGGTGAGATCGGGTTACCGTACGTGGTGAAGTTTAATAATTTGCGAGGTGGAACGATGGTGGCGATCGGGGACGAGGGAGGGGACGTGCGGGTGTTGGACGCGACGCGCGCGCTTCCGCGCGCGGGCGAGACGGGCGCCGGATACGAAGCGATGTGGGAATTCAGCGCGCACGATAACGCGATTTACGACGTCGCGTGGACGTCGGACGATTTGCGGTTGATCACAGCCAGTGCAGATCGCGGTGTGGCGTGCTACGATGCGGGTACGATGAAGGTGGTGTCGGCGTGCGACGACGGGCACACGTCTTGCGTCAAGGCGGTGGCGACGCGGCCGACGTCGCCGGATGTGTTCGCGACCGGCGGTAGGGACGGTCGGCTCTTGGTGTTCGACGCGCGTCAGGGCGTTACTTGTGATTTGGAGCGCGTGGCGACGGTGGATTACGCGCACAGGCTCCCCGGCGCGACTAGCGGACGCCGACGCGCGTGTCTGCACAGCGTCACGTCTGTGGCGTTCGACAACACGGGCGACGTCGTCTTGAGCTCCGGTGGGTCGGATGGATTGGTGAAAACTTGGGATTTGCGCCAGATGAAGAGCGCCATCGGCGTTCTTCGCGACGCCGCGGAGGATGAGTACGTGCGCGGGTCTTTTTACGACTGCGGCGTGGGCGTTCGATTCTCTGGCCTCGGTACGAGCGGATCGTCGACGAAACCGCGCGGCATCTCAGGGATCGCCGTCGATCCAACCTCATCGCGCGTCGTCGTCTCGTACGTCGATAATCACATGGCTATGTTCGACGCGAATGATCCGAGTGGGAAACCATCTCGACATTTCATCGGGCACATCTCGACGTCGTATTACGTCAAGCCGAGCTTTTCTCCTGACGGCGCGCGCGTGGCGTGCGGTTCGCTCGACAACAACGTGCACGTGTGGAACGTCGATCGTCCAGACGAACGTTCGATCGAACTCGAAGGGCACACTGCGGGCGTCGGTTGCGTACACTGGTCCGGTCGCGTCGACGGCTTGGCGTCGTGCGCCGACGACGGGTGCGTTCGGCTGTGGCGCCTCTGCGATGCCGCCGCGAAGCCGCGACGGTTCCATCGCCCGTCGAGACCGGCGCCCGCGATGGATTCCGCCATTACGCGGGCGCTCGGTCGCGTCGTCGACGCGGACGCTCCAGATATCGCGCGCGTCACCGTGGGATCATCTCTCGCATTCGCGCCCGCGACGGAGGCGACGCCGCGCAAGCGCGCGGCGGATCCGTCCAAGCGCGTCGACGCCGAGCGCCTCGCCCGTCGTCGCCCGCTCACCGAAAACATCCACACGTCGTCGTGTACGTAGATTCTAACCGTGTGACGCGTGGTATTCTTTCATCGCGCGTCGTCCCGCGTCCGTCGCGCGTTCGACGCCTCGCGCGTCCCGCCCGCCCGTCCCGACCGCCACCACAAAGTGATGACCCCTCACGCGCGTCACACGCGCGCGTCTTCGCCTCGACGTCGCGTCCGAACGCACCCGCGCGCGCGATTGGTCACGACGTCCTCGCTCGACGCCGCGCGGCGAACGGCAGGACGTGGATTGGATTGGAATCCATCGATTGGAATCGCATCGATTGGAATCCAAACGCGCGATGAGTGAACTCGACGCCGTGCTCGCGCACGCGTCGAGTGGGACGCACGCGCGGGACGACGACGCGGAGAGAACACAATCGGTCGTGGACGCGACGCCGCGGACGACGCCGCGGGCGCTGCGCGTGCGAACCGAGACGCCGCGGGAGACGACGGAGCCGGAGCGAGGCGCGGGAGAGACGTTCGCGGACGCGCTGGAACACGAGATCGAGCGAACGAGATGCGAGACGCCGGTGATGACCGCGGGTGGGATGCCGTTGCACGCGGCGGTGGCGAGGGGGGATCGAGAGGAGGTGACGCGGTTGGTGGGCGGCGGACGGGCGGAGGCGCGGACGGCGGTTGGGGAGACGTGGCCGCCGCCGAAGGAACCGCTGCAGACGTTGATAGATCAGGGCTCGCGCGAGGCGTGGATGATCAGGGCTCCGAGAGTGGATCAGAGGAACGAACGCGGGGACACGGCGTTGGTGGTGGCGTGCGCGCTTGACGACTCGGAGACGTGCGAGGAGATGGTGCGGATATTGATCGACGCGGGCGCCGATCCGAGGATGATGTCAAACGGTTTCGCGCCCGTGCATTGGGCGTGTCAGTTCGGTCACGTCAAGGCGATCGAGATCATGATGTTGGCGTCGAAAGGGATCGAGCGGGTGCGCGCGGAAGACGGCTCGACGCCGCTTCTCGTCGCCGCTGAGTACGGGCAAATGGCCGTCGTGCGAGCGCTGCTGGAGTCAGGCAACGCCAATCCCATGGCGCGAGACGGTCGCGGACGCGATCTCGTCAGCGTTCTCGGCGCGAAAATGCAACGACAGAGTCAATCGGCGAAGTTGGAGCTTCGACGGGAGCTTTTTAGGCGCGTCCCCTCGCTTCGTTTGGCCCTCTTGTCACATCCCGATTGCGAGGAGCACGTCTCATTCAAGCCGCATCAAGAAAGTCCTGAGCGTATAGTCGCGATTTTCGAAGAGCTTCGACGAGTGATGCATAAGGGCGAGCTTGCACAAGAAGAGTTTGATGAGACGACGGATTTTGGTCTCGCTGAGCCGCACGATATTCTCCGGGCGCATTCGGAGGCGTACGTGCGCGTGCTCGCCGAGTTGAGCTCAAATGTTGGACATACGCCGATCGCGTTTACGCCGTACTGTCAAAATCAAAAAGGCGTGCCGGAAAAGTTGCAAAAGGATCCAGAGAATAGCGACACGTTTTTCTCTCCCGGCACGCTCCAAGCGGCTCTCAGAGCAGCCGGTGGGGTCATTCACGCCATCGATCGAGTCATGGACGGTAAGAATAGAAACGCTTTCGTCTGTTGCCGTCCGCCGGGGCATCACGCAGGAACTGAGGGTGCTACAGAAGGTGCACCATCGAGTGGTTTCAGCATCTTGAATAATGCGATGATAGGTACGTATGCGATCGCGATCTCCACTAGGACATCTCACGCGATGCCGGTGAGCGTAAAAGTGCTCATTGCGCCATGATGGACGTCCTACATTGACGACCGCCTTCTATGACAGCGAGAACAGAGCTCGTCTTTGCTGACAGATACGGGCGGTACATTTACTAGAAGAGTTCGGAGACTAACGCGTACGTCGATTTGTCGTATCATTGCAGGTGCTCTGCACGCCATCGAGGAACGCAACTGCATGCGCGTCGCGGTGGTTGATTTCGACGTGCATCACGGCAATGGAACGGAGGAAATCGCGCGACACTGGCTCACGAAGCAGCGTGCGCGCGAAGATTACCATCGTCACAGATCGGCTGATTTATTCTTCACGTCTATTCACTTGGCCGACGACGGTTCGAGTAGCGGCATTAACTTTTACCCGGGCACGGGAGTGGTCGATGACGTCGTGAACAACATTGTCAACGTAGTCGTTCCACCGATGTGGCTCGCGAAGGGCTTGAACGCGACAGCGAATGGAGAGACGGGCGAGCGTGCTCGTAAGAAGACGAAGCGGTACAGCGAAGGTTCCGACGATGCGCCCGTGCACACGAAGAACGGTTCGTCCCAGCAACCGTCGACGGATCATCAACCGCCTAGTGCGGGCGGCCGGTTAGAATGGATGAAAGCATTTCGCGAGCGTTTGATTCCAGCGCTCCGAGCGTTTGGTCCCGAGCTCATCGTCGTCTCCGCCGGGTTCGACGCAGCCGCATCTGATGTCGGCAATCTCGGCGTGGACGCAAAGCGAAACACGCGTCATCAGGGAGTCAATCTTCGCCCAGAAGATTACGCAGACATGACACGAGCGCTCTTGGGTGTTGCAAACGTGTGCGATGGACGCGTCGTTTCCATTCTCGAGGGAGGATATGGGCATCTGATGAACATGAACGTCGCGAAGGACGGATCGGTCGCTGAGGTCACACTCGGTAGGGACGGTTTTGCAAAGTGCGTCACTGCGCATGTCAAAGCGCTGCTAGTCGGCGCGTAAGAACGTAAATTACTAACATTTCTCAGCTCTTGTATTGATATGTACAATGTACACCTATAGCACTTCTTTGCGCAAGCACTCAATCTCGTTCTTAAACATGTCACCGATGTATTGCGCGTCCGGCGTCGCGTCCGGGTCAACGACGAGCGTCAATCGCAAACTCCCTGAATAACTCACGACGCTCACCTGATTGACGAGGTTGGCGCACGCGAAAACGATATCTCGTACGCGAGATCCCATGAGCACGATCGTTTCCGTGGGTCCCGGAACGTTAGTGAACACCATGCTGTGACGCGACATGTAATCAAAGACGACTTTGCGTTGCACGTCTGGACCCGCCGCGTTGACAAACTTGTTGAGCCAACGCGTAACGTACGGTTCGGGCGAGCGCTTCATAAAATCACATGTCTTCTTTGCCTTTTGAAGGCGAGTGGTCGCACTCATGACGCCCATAGGAAACGTCAAGGAGACGAAAGTCCAAGAGTTTGTGAGCGCGCCCGTGACGCGTTCCGGGAACGCGTACGGCGTGGCCGAGCGCAAGAACGGATTTTTAGTCGCGCTCTTGTCCCCAACCTTCGCGTGGTACGCCTGAATCGCTCCCGCAAGCGCAGCGACGACAATATCGTTCACGGTACACCCACTCACATTCTTAATCGCCTTGATGTCGTCGATAGCGACTGGCGGGCACACTACGACGCGACGCTTCCCGGAGAAACCGTACGGCGGCCTCGATCCCTTGAACGTGGTCTTCGTGTCGTAAGGCCCCGCCGCGGTGAGCAAGGCTTTCATAGCGCCGTACATACACACAAATATAAACGTGATGAATGCCCAGATGGCGGCAAGTACCGAGCGCTTCGTTGCCTGCGCGCGACGCTTGAACGACAGCAACTTCACGTCGCCGCCGTCGAGCGCCGAGGACACGCGCTTCAACACGTCCACCAGAGCGATTCCGTCTCCGATCGCGTGACTTACTCGGACCAAAACTACGGGCGGTTCGGGATATCCCGTCTGATCGTCGTCCCACACCGAACTCACGCCTTTTTTTCTCGTCACGATGACGCAGTCCCACAACGGCGCGCTCGTATCGAACTGCTCGAGCATCGCGTCGTCGAATACCTTTGATAACTCCTTCGCCGTCTCCACCTCCACACGCTTGAACCGCCGCATCGCCTTGACGTTACCAACGTCCTCCACGCATTCCCACCGCAGATGCCTCAAATTTTTCACGCTCTTCGAGTCTCTCGGCGTCGCCGCCGAACGCAATTCCGGAAACGCCTCGAGCGCGTCCACGAATGTCTTAATCTCATCATCACTCGGCGCCTTTTCGAGGTAAAATCCAGCGACCAACGGAAAATCCACAGCCTTCGCGCTCTTCGGGAACGCTCCACCGTCGCTCCCGCGCAGCGTCGCCCGAGCGAGCGTCTCCGTCAACGAATTCATGCGAATCGCAACCAATCGCTCGCCGTTGAAGCGAACACTCGCGTCGTCGCACCGTCCACGGCACCGTGCCGAGCGATCGACGACGCCCCGCGTTCGCGCGCACGTCCGCGCGCGCGCGCGCCGTCGATCGGGGCGCGCCAGACGCTCGCGCGCGCGCGTCTGTGGACACGAAACCAAAACGTGTGACTTTTTATGTACACGAGAGACACGGACGCGCGCGACGGACGCGACGCCGCACTCGAGCGCGCGCGCGGCGACGACGATGGCGACGGCGATGACGGCGACGATGACCACGGTGCGCGCGCGAGCGAGCGAACGCGACGGCGCGCGAACGAACGGGCCGAAGCGACGGAAGCGGGGGGGATGTGATCTCGAACGAGCTCGTGGCGTTTTGATGATCGTCGCGGTCGTGACGGGTACTCGGGCGCGGTACGAGCGTCGGTGTGGAGGTGGAGATGATTGACGATGGGTTTTGTGTCGCTCGCGACGTAGGCGTTGAGGAACGAGGGAGGGACGACGACGAGGGACCAGTCGGAGGGGGATCTGTACGCGCGCGTGAAGCAGCTCACGCGCGAGCTCGAGTTGATCGAGATCCAGGAAGAGTACATCAAGGATGAGCAGAAGAATTTGAAGATTGAGCTCTTGAGGGCGCAGGAGGAGGTGAAGCGGATTCAAAGCGTGCCGCTGGTGATTGGACAGTTTTTGGAGATGGTGGACGCGGAGACGGGCATCGTGAGCTCGACCACCGGGTCAAACTATTACGTGCGAATTTTGTCCACGCTGAATCGTGAGCTGTTGAAGCCGTCGAGCTCAGTGGCGCTGCACAGGCACTCCAACGCGTTGGTGGAGATTTTACCACCCGAGGCGGACTCTTCGATTTCTTTACTGAGCGACGCGGAGAGACCAGACGTCAAGTATAGCGACATTGGGGGCGCCGACGTGCAAAAGCAAGAGATTCGCGAGGCAGTGGAGCTTCCGTTGACGCATTTTGACTTGTATCGTCAGATCGGGATCGACCCACCTCGCGGGGTTTTGTTGTACGGCCCGCCAGGTACGGGTAAGACGATGTTGGCCAAGGCGGTGGCGCACCACACGACGGCGGCTTTCATTCGCGTCGTCGGGAGCGAGTTCGTTCAAAAATACCTCGGTGAAGGTCCACGCATGGTCAGAGATGTCTTCAGATTAGCGAAAGAGAACGCGCCGGCGATTATTTTCATCGACGAGGTCGATTCCATCGCCACCGCTCGTTTCGACGCGCATACCGGGGCGGATCGCGAGGTGCAACGCATCCTTATGGAGCTCTTGAACCAAATGGATGGTTTCGATCAGTCCGTGAACGTCAAGGTGATAATGGCGACGAATCGCGCGGACACGCTCGACCCGGCGCTCTTGCGCCCAGGACGTCTCGATCGTAAGATCGAATGCCCGCACCCCGACCGCCGTCAGAAGCGTTTGGTTTTCCAAGTGTGTGTCGGCAAGATGAGTCTCAGCGACGAGGTCGACTTGGAGGATTACGTCAGTCGACCGGACAAGATTTCCGCGGCAGATATTCGATCTATTTGTCAGGAAGCGGGCTTGCAGGCGGTGCGTAAAAACCGATACGTCGTTCTGCCGAAAGACTTTGAAGTTGCGTACAAGATCAACGTGCGCAAACCGGACAACGACTTTGAATTCTACAAGTAGGCTTCGCGACTTCGCGCGCGTTCGACACGTTCGACGTTTAGTTAGGCGAGTTTGTTGTGAGATATCCTCATATTCATCAATACAGGCTCGTGTATCGCATTTTCTCTTGACGTTCGTGAGACTGAGCAAATTTTCTCTTTGATTATTCCGACTCTGACGTTCAAAACATTTTCATCCCTTGTCCGCGGGACGAGTGCACCTGAAACAAGACACGCGAGAGGCAAAGTTGTGAGAGCTACAGTTGCTGCAGATCCAATCGCCGCTCCTGAAGTTGTCCGGATTCGCGCCAGATCCGCGAGTACCTTCAGACGGCGGAGGCGGATCCTCGTCGCCCATCTTGTGGTATTCACACTTGAAGCAGGACGTTCTTGAGGCGAAGCAGTGAGCGCCGCAGCTCTTGCAGATCCAGTCCCCAGCGCGGAAACTTCCGGCGCCAGGGCCGCCCGCCTCCGAGCTCGCTTTGCTCTCGGTCGGCGATAAACCGACACTAACACCCTCACTATCCGCAGCTGCGGCCTTATCCCGTTTACACTTATGGCACGCCGACCGACTCGCAAAGTTATGCGCCGAGCAGCGTGCGCACGTCCAGTCACCCGGCCGACGAACAATGGCGCTTGCCGGTGCCGGCGTCGGAGTCGGAGCGGCACTTCGAAGACCGATCCAAGCGAAGGTGAGCATGATATACGGTGACCCACTCGGCGGCGAGACGTTCGCGATGGGCTCCAGGTGGAGAGCCAACGGAACGAAGCGCAACAAACCACTTGCCTGATCGACACCGCGATCCTTCACAGTGCCAACAACGACGCAGCTCGCAGTGTTGCTGTGGCCGATCGCGCCCACCACGGACTGGTTAACCGGCGTACAAACAATGCGAACGTGCGCGCCTTGGTTTGCCGCCACAACGGGCGTGTTATCAAGATCTGCCAAAAGGTTCGTGTCCTGCACAATGTCCAAACGAGCACCCTTACTCAACCTCGCTCCGAGTTCGGCGGCAATACTCGTGCCGTATGGATTCGCAACTCGGTCTAACATGGCCAAGAAACGAGCCGGGCCGACGTTCTTGAGCGTCGTTTGCAATAAACTCACCAAGGGCGCCAAGCGCTGAGACCAAGCGACCGTGTTTTGCGGACGAAGCGCATACCCACTCGTGGGGCCGGTGCACAGGACGCCAGAACCCTCCGCTCCCGCAGTGAGCGACTGAAACGTGCTGAGAAGCTGTTCCGGGGTTTGCACTTGCGCGTTGTTACCAGGCGCGGCCGCAATATGCGCAGACTGCGAGCTAGCTCCCACGGCCGCGCGCTGCGCGAATGAACCTCCCGGAGGCTTGGGAGGAGACATTGCAATCGTCGGCGTAGGCGCTGTACCGGCCGGTGGCTGCGGTGGCACCTTAGCCGCGCCGATCGCACTCGCGTACGAAGGAGGCGCTGCGGGCATCACCGCCGCACGCCGCGGAGGCGGCGTACTTGGCATCGGCGGCGCCGGCATCGGCGCGGGAGCTGGCGTTTCACTCAACGTTGACCCAAACGTGCTCGTTGCCGCACCCGTCGGGGCGCCGACACCGAAGTCGTTTGCATACGACGCGCCACCCAAGCCACCAAACCCGCCACTCAAGCCAAGACCTACGCCGAGGTTCAATCCCAAGCCGACACCAGATCCAAGCCCCGCGCCCAGACCGCCCATATCCCCACCACTCCGCGCGCTCATACCCGTGAGCGCGATTTGTGGATTCGGAAACGGATGCGCCTCTTCGCTGAGCTGCACGCTCACGCATCTGAGCTCCGGGAGCAGCGTGCGCTGTCCCGCGAGTGACTCCGATAACCACGCGGCGAAGCCCGCGGCGTCCGTGCCGGCGAACCTCCCGAGCGTCATGAGCTGCTGATCCGGTCTTTGGTTGGCGTAATACGGATCCGCTCCCGGGAGCGCCGAGCTCAGCGCCCGTGCGATCTCCAACGATCCCGGACAATCGATCCCGACCAACACACACCCATTTTGCATCACTTTACACTTCGGTAGCACCCTCCCGCTCGCTGGTCCGTGCGCCGACGCGACCGCGCGAAGCGTCTCCGTGATCTCCTTCCCGCCTAAACCGGTTCCGTCCAGACCAGAGACGAGCGCCACGTGCGGCGGCGCGCATCCCATACCTGCACCATTTGACACCATCGCGTTCCATCGTCAGTCAACGTTCGACGCGCGCGAGCGTCTTGAACCCCCCCGCGCGCGCGCGCGTCGTCGATCGCGCGCGACGAAAATTCCTCTCTCGATCACCCCCTTCGCCTCTCCGCCCGCCCCGAACGCACCCGCTCTCGCTTCACTCTGCGCCAGAAACTGTCCCTCGAACGCGCTGCCCCGATGCCACTGCAGCGCGCTCGCGAGATGCGCCACCGCGCGCTCCGAGACGTCATCGAATCGCAATCGCGCGTACGCGTGCGCGCCCAGCGCGTTCGCCCCCGACGTCGACATCGTCCCCCGCGCCGCGTCGATCGCGCGCGCGCGATCGCCGCCCCGCGTCGCGCCCGTCCGTCGAACGCGAGAACGCGCGTGCGCGACGACCGGTCGGTGATTGCCGCGAATGAATGCGCGTGGACGCGATGCGCGGGCGCGGTGAACCCTAACGCGACCGACCGACGCGCGCTCTCGCGCGCGCGACCGCGCTCTCGCGCGCGCGGGCGACGCGGAGGATTGGGTGAAAATACGCGCGTCGCGCGACGCGGACGACGGGCGCGGGCGCGCGCGGGGGACGGCGTGAGGACGCGGACGCGGGCGACGCGGTCGGACCGTGCGCGATGGCGACGACGGGGACGTTCGACGGGCGAAAGCGGGCGATCACGCGTGAGTTAGCGTCGGCCGCGGATGACGCGGAGGGCGGGGGGGATCGAAGTCGCGCGGGGCGCGTCGACGCGCGGTGCGCGGCGTTGGTGCGAGAGATTTGCGCGAGTGAGGACTTTTTTACCACGAGTAGTTGTAGCGGACGGGTGAGCGTGTTCGCCGATCGCTCTTCGGTGGACGCGCGAGAGGAGCGGAAGGGAGGGACGTGGGCGTACGTCTCGCACGATCCGGCGAACGCGCGGGAGGTGATCGAGGCGCTGCGCGCGCACGAGGGCGCGGACGCGGACGACGGCGACGGCGGCGACGGCGAGCGAAGCGAACGCCCGACGCTGGTGTTGCGGTTCGAACCGTTTATATTGGCCGTGGAGGCGAGGGATTTGGAGCGTGGGGCGGCGTTCGTGCGAATGGCGCGCGAGTGCGGGTATCGAGAGAGCGGGATCACGGCGTGCGAGAAGCGCGTGGTGTGCTCGGTTCGATGCCAGCTTCGCATGGAGGCGCCCGTCGTGGTGGACGGCGCGCGCGTGTGCGCGGACGACGCGATCGAGATCTTGGTGCGCGTGGCGAATGAAAAGTTTCACGTCAATGCGGCGAGGATGGAACGGTTTCGGGAGGCTTTCCGGGAGATGTGTGCGAAGAAGGCGGCGGGCGAGGACGAGGACGCCGATGGGGGAGCGGTTGCGACAAAGATGTGTTTAGAGGTGAAGAAGGAGAGCGCTAAGGCGGTAAAAGACGCACTCAAGCGATGTAAATGGTTGGACTTAACTCGCAAAGCGGCGATGCTGAAGGCATCGAACGGAGATGTCGAGAGCGTTGTCTTGCCGGTGAAATCGGTCGCAGCTTTGGTGGACAACGCGGACGCATCGTCGGACGACGAGAAGTTCGTCCTGCTCGCGATCGAACGCGGCGATGCGAAGTTAAGAAATGATGACGGCGCCACGAACGGTGGTTTGATACTGGCGCAGAAGAAACAGACACAGAATCCCGTGACTCAGATGAAACAAGAGCTGTCCGCGATGCTTCACGCGCGAGGCCTCAGGGAGAGCTTGGTGCAAGAGGTGTCGACCCGGTGGGAAAAGTTTGGAGACTTAGTCCTCGTCCCCGCGCAGGCATTTTCGGCGAATGAGTTCAAATCATTCCAGGATGATCTGTACGGAATGGTCGCACGCGTCCTCGGGGTGACGCGTGTCGCGCGTCAAGCTCCGGTGAGCCAAGGTCCAAAGAGAGAGTCACGCGCAGTCATGATGTACCCACGGGACGCCGACGGATGGGTCGAAACTAAAGAGTTAGGTGTAACGTACGGTTTGGACGTAACAAAGGTGATGTTTAGCAGCGGTAACGGGACCGAGAAGCAAAGGATGGCCAACATCGGCGCAGACGGTGAAACCATCGTCGATTTATTCGCCGGCATCGGGTACTACACGTTGCAACTACTAAAGAATGCGGGTGCAGCCAAGGTGTACGCGTGCGAATGGAACCCCAATAGTTGCGAGGCGTTGCGCTATAATCTTCGCGTGAATGGATTGGAATCGAAATGTGAGGTCTTGGAGGGGGACAATAGACGCGTTGCTCCGATAGGAGTGGCGGACAGAGTGCTGCTCGGTTTGCTTCCGCACGCCGAAATGTCGTGGGAGACGGCGTTGAAAGCGCTGAAACCTCAAGGCGGGGTACTCCACGTGCACTCGAATGTAAACAGTGGTGAAGAAGAGGAGTGGACTGAGCGTCTCGTCGCAGAGTTGAAGGCACTCGCGACCGCCAATGGGCGTGACGATTGGGATGTTGTCGTCGAGCACCTTGAGCGTGTCAAGTGGTACGGACCTCGCATTCGTCATGTCGTTTGCGATGTGAGATGCACTAGTAGAGTGACGCGTCGCGATGAAGGCGCCGTCGGTACCGTGTCGCCAGCGCGAAACGGTTCCGGTTTGACTACTGGCAAGACTCCTTTGGCTGCCAAGTCACGTGTAGATCGCCTCCACCGCCCAGATGCGCAACATTTCATTAAATCTGTGGCCACGAAACGAGTGCCTATCGTACTCAGTGGACTGGACATTGGTCAGGCACCGTGGACTTGGACGCCGCAGTATTTGTCCAAGCTCGAGGGGCTTCCAGACAAGGCTGTGAGCGTGCACGTGAGTCAAGATCCGAAACTGGACTTTGTGCGAAAAAATTTCACGTACCAGGTGATGCCGTTCGGCGAACTCCTAGACAAGGTTGCCAATGACGGCGGCGAACGCTTTTATTACCTGCGAAGCATCGGTGAAAACCCACGAAAAGAACCCGCGCACGCGATTCGTCAATTTCCATGCCTTGAGCACGACTTAAAGTTACCGACAGAACTTTGGGGAGGGGAGGAAAACTACTTCAGCTCGGTCATTCGCGTGAGCAGTGGCGGTCTTCAGCTGTGGACGCACTACGACGCCATGGATAACATGCTAATTCAACTCCACGGGGAGAAACGCGTTTTTTTGTTCCCTCCATCTGTCTCTGGTGATCTCTACCTCGAGGGGTCGTCGTCGATCGTTCGAGATATCGACTCGCACGATCCAGAGACGTTTCCTCGATTCGCTCGCGCAAGAGAAGCAGCTCTGGAGGTAATTTTACAACCGGGAGATGTGTTGTACATCCCGGCTCTTTGGGCACATCATGTCACCGCACTGCAGGGTCCTTCCATCGCGGTCAACGTTTTCTACAGACATCTTCCTACGGAGATGTATCCGTCAAAGGATTTGTACGGCAACGCCGATCCCGTACCCGCGGCTGAAGCGATGAAATTGATCGATTCGGCGATGGAATCGTTGAAGAAGCTCCCGCATGATTACAAAGTGTTCTATGCAGGCGTAGCGTCGTCACAATTAGAAAATAACCTAGGCGTCACCTCGGCTCGGAAGCTTTTATCCATGGATGACGGCTGCGCAACGCGCAAGTCGAGCGACAAGAAGTTGTCTTCTTTAAATCGGGTGTCTCGCGCTTTAGGAGTGGCAACGAGTGTAGGCATTGCTATGATGGCTATTAGAAAGCTATAGCTAGCACGAACAAACTTAGCAAATGTAGCAGCAGCAAAATAGCTTAGCGATTTCTCCGATGATTCCTTGTCCGTTGAGCGAGCTGCGACTCGGAGAAAGCTGCGGCGGTCCGGACGTGCAAAGAGATTCTTCGTTTCCTTCCTTCACGGCTTGGGCCATAGACGCGATGTCGAGTACGTATCTAATGCCGCTGTCATTACCGGAGTCGAGCTCCTCGTAAATCTCGGTTAGCTGGGAGACGGGCACGACGCGATACTCGGGAACGATGTCGTGCGCAGCGCACAAGTCCATGACCTCTTGTGTCGCCCTAATTCCACCTATCCCCGATGCGGCGAGCGGTGTCTTCTTCCCCTTCAACCCCAGAGCGACCATTCCCGTGGCCAATCCCGAGTGCAAACCGAGAATGACCTGTTTTGCTCGCTGCCCGTCCTCGCCGCCGGAGTGCTTCAGCAACTTTTGGAAACGAAAGTAGTCGTGCGCGATGGGAACGGTATTCAGTATCAGATCCAGCGTCCCACGCGCTCGACGCATGTCCTCTTTGTCCTCGGAGCACACGAAGTTGGTGGCGCCACATCGAAGTGCCAGCGTCTCTTTCGTGGCGCTTCGACTGATAACGGTGACCTCGGCGCCCAGCGCTCGAGCGATCTTCGCACCCATGACACCTAGACCCCCGAGACCGACGATTCCAACCTTACTCCCTCGCTTCACACCGTATCGCTTCATCGGATCGTACATCGTCACACCAGCGCACATAACCGGTCCCGCCGCTTCGAGCGGATACGTCGCTGGGATTTTCACGCCAAACCGTTCGTCGACGACATGAAACGTCGCGTACCCGCCCAAGGTTTGCCCCCCAGGCGGCCACGTTGCGGCGCGTCCGTGTTTATCATCGCTACCATACGTTCCCGTCATCTTATTCACGCACATCTGCTCTTCCCCGGCTTCGCACTTCACGCACTTCAAGCAGGAGTCGACGATGCATCCGACTCCGGCGCGGTCGCCAACGCTAAACATCGTCACCGCGGACCCGACGGCGACAACAATGCCCGCGAGCTCGTGACCTGGAACAAAAGGATACTTCGGCGGACCCATCACGCCCGCCATATGCCCACCGGCATTGTGCAAATCGGAGTGACACACGCCGCAAAACTTTAACGTGATCAAGACGTCCCGGTCGCCGAGCGGGCGACGGTGCGCGTGAAGCGGCTTGAAGTGACACCGCGCGTCGTCGCACGCCATACACACGAACTCCATCGGTTCTTTCGGGTTCATGACGTCCATGTCGAGAAGATCTTGGAGGAGGCGGCGAGTGAGGATTTTACCCGACAACCGGGACGCAGTCACCGTCGACGAAGGATGTCGATGATGTGCTTAAGAAGCATCGGCGTCGTCTCGGGAATCCCCCCCATGATTGGGAATTCGCTCAGAAGACCTTTATTTCGGTAGTACTCCTCGACTGGGATCGTCGCTTTCTTGTACACGTCCAGGCGCGCGCGGACGACGTCCTCCGTATCGTCCGCACGTTGCGTCATCTTTCCAAGACACGCCTCGGGCGGGTTCAGGGGCGGCATCACGATCGTGGGCTCACCTTCTTTTTCGCTTCGAATTACCGCGATGTTAAACGCCTTGCCGCACTCCCCGCACTCGCGTCGTCCGCAACATTTTTCGACCAAGATGTCCTCGCGAAGCGTCAGGTTCAGCGCCGACGTCACCTCCACCATGTCGTTCAACCGTTCCGCCTGCGGCACCGTTCGCGGGAACCCATCGAGCAAGAACCCTCTTTCGCCGTCTTTCTTCCCCTTTTCGATTCGCAACCTCAAAATTTCCAACACCGTCTCATCCGGGACGAGCGCGCCCGCCGCCGCGAGCGCGCGCATCTCCTTTCCGATCGCCGTCTCCCCCTTGATCTCCGCGCGGACTAAATCACCCATGGACACGTGCGGGATCTTCATTTGTTTCGCCACTCTCGACGCGTACGTCCCTTTTCCCACGCCGGGGGCGCCTAAGAAGACCCAGTTTAATTTTTTGCCGGCCGCCACAACCTCGTCGCAGGTTTTGGTGAGTTCGTTTCTCAGCGCGTCCACGGCGTCGCCGGTGGCGTCGAAGGGCGACGGCTGAGCGCTGAACGCGCGCGCGCATCGCGCGAGAGGTTTGGTCAATCTCACGCGGCTCTGCATCATGCGTCGATGGGTGCGGATGTGGATAAGCCAGAGATTATTTATTTCACCGAAGAGGACGCGGCTCGACGCGGCCGTGGACGCGACGACGCGCGCGACGAGTTTTGACTACGACTATGAATACTATGAATATCAATACGAACTATGTCATGCATGTCTGCCTATCGAGCCTTCTCCCGCGCGCTGGCGACGACGATTGCGCCGTCGGCGCCTCGGTCGAGCGGCGCCGAGTTTGCGTTCACCACGTGCGACATGTACGCGTTCCACGCCACCCCGGCCACGTTCAAAGCCAATATGCGCCACTTTGTCGGCACGTACGCGAAATTCACCGCGTTCGCGAACGGCCAGAACATCGTTCCCGCGAGAATCGTGTCCACAAACTTCTCCTCGAGCTGCTCTCTCGCGCGCGTCGCCGGCGCCTCCCATCCCTCCAAATACGCCATCGCGACAAAGAATAACACCGTGTACGACGGGAACAACATCGTGTGTCCGATCGCAACCTTCTTCACCACCGTTCGCGCGCACGTTCCGCCGCCCACGCGCCGTTCGAGCTCCTTGAACGCGTAGTGAAAGAACGGTCCGTGCACCGTCGCGCCGACGGCGAAAAACCTCGCCGTGCGCGTCGCGTCGTGTTCGAATCCCAGCACCGACGTCGTCGTCGACGCCCACGATGCACGCGCGCGCGACGCCGTCGTCGACGCCGCCCTCGCCGTCGTCGACGTCGTCGCCGTCGTCGTCGTCGTCGTCGTCGTCGTCGTCGCGAGCGATGCGTCCTCTCGCATCCGCGTCGTCCCATCCATTCCCTCGTCCCTCGTCCCCGCGCGTTGACACACCGCGTCACCGATCGCCATGACGCACGCCGACGTCGCGGCGCTCCGCCACATCGGACGCGCGGACATCGCGCGCGCGCGGTGTGTCGCGCGCGCGCGTCGACCGCATCGACGCCGTAACTTCACACGCCGACGCCGTGCGATGCTTCGCGCGCGCGCGCACGCGCGACCGACGCGCGCGCGCGCGCAGACGCGACCGGGGCCGCGCGCGCGCGCGCACGCGCGGTCGGGGCCGCGGACGCGGGCGCGCGCGCGTGGACTCGGGAAGGATGACGACGCGAACGGTGACGGGAATGACGACGGGAACGACGACGCGGTGACGTCGGCGGACGCGCTGCGACGGGCCGTGGACGCGATGACGTCGGCGACGGGGGGTGACGCGAGCGTGCGAGAGGAGCTGGAGGTGGAGTTGCGGCTGCGAGGGAAGATTTATCGGGCGGAGAAGGAATTGGATGCGAAGAAGGAGGAGATTCGCGAGCTGGGCGACGCGAGCAAGACGAACATCGACGCCGAGGCGGGGGTGGCGAAGGATCGGAATTCGTTAGAGCTTGGGATGATCGCGGGTGAGCTCGATGCGGAGTTGGCGGCGTTGGCGGACGAGGCGCAGGCGGCGAGGGAGAGGAACGCGCGAGTGAAGCGAGAAATTGAAGACCTGGCGGAGGAGTTGTTAGGGCGCGGTAGGGGAACGCGAAGACGCGAGGACGCGCCCGCGCCGGGATCGCTGGCGGATATGAAGGCGCGAGCGGCGGAGGCGGAGGCGGAGGCGGTGGATAAGAGGATGCAGGCGACGCTTGAGGAGACGCAGCGCGCGACGACGTACACCATGGTTTTGCTTTTGTTATCCTTCTTGGGATTCACGCTCTTGGCGGAGGGGGCGTACGATAAGTTCTGCGCCGTTCTTGCCGCGCTCGCGCTCGTCGCGTATCAATCCAGGGCGGAACTTCAGGCGAAGAGCAAGGGAAAGTGACGCGCGCGGGCGTCGCGACAGACTCGATGAATACGTTGTATTGAGATCTAAGAGACTCTACATCATCCATACGGCGCTGAGTCGTACCTAAACTGCATAGCGACGACACGTTTGTCGAACACCTTTTCTCGGAAGCCCATCGTTTCATACATTTTGACCACTCGACCCTCCGAGTAGAGTCCGACGTTGCAGATTTCCTCATCCAAGACGCGTTCGACCAGACGCTCCATCAACCCTCGACCGATGCCGTGCCTTTGCCACGCAGGCGACACCGCGACGTCCCATATCGTCGCAGTGAACGTCCCGTCGCTCGTCGCCCGAGCGAACCCGACGACTTGTCCCGCACGAGCGAACCGACTGTTCCTCGTCGTCGTCGCCCATATCGCCGCGTGCGAGTTATCCACCGCCTTCTCCAACTTCTCCCTCGCCCGAGCGCTGAACCCGACGCTGACGAAGAGCTGATTCAACGCCTCGAAATCCCGACTCTCGCGCTTTACGCAGCCATCGAAATCGAACCGCACGCCCATGTCCTCAAAGTACGCGTCCGGTCGCGATATCCCCAACCTCAGCTCGTTCGCGTCTCGCATCGATCGCACGGCGTCGTCGGCGCCTAATATTCCGTCGCTCGCGTCGGCTCGCTGCTTATCGACGCTGGACATGCGATTCGGGTCCTCGGGGACGTTTATGAATGGATTCCACGCCGGGAACGCTCGCATCTTCACTCGCGTCGCTCTCTCGCGGTGCGTCGCGTGCGAGCGAGCGAGTGGCGACGACGACGTCGACGGCGCGCAGGACATCGACGCGCGCGCAGTGCGCGCGGACATGGCGAGACGAAGAGCGAAGCGCGAGTGAACGTGTGAGGATTACCCGCGCGCGGGACGACGGGACGGCGCGCGGGACGACGGGACGTTCGCTCGATGAGCTACGATTCTACGATACTCTAACACACACGCGCGCGAGAGAAACAATACCATCGCGTTCACTCAGGAGGCGCGCCGCGACCTCGACCGCGTGCGCCGTCCAGGCGTCTCCTCGCTTCTCCTCGCGCGTTCTTCCTCCTCCGCCGCCTCAAACTCTCGTCGCTTAAACATCCTACGCGTGATCTCGTACTGCACGATATCGCGAAACAGCGGCACGACGTGCGTCGCTTCCTTCGGGAACGGCTCGAAATGTTCGTCGTCCGCTTCATCCAACACGTACTCCGAGCGGTCGGCGGCCCGTTGCCCGAAGCGCTCGTCGAAATCTGCCGGCGTCGCCATCAGATTCAAACACTCGTACCCCAGGAGCGCGTAAATGCACGCGGCGATGAGCCAGATGGGAAACACCCGCGCGTAGTGCTTCGCCGCTTTCCCCGACGGCGCGCCGAGGCGCTCGAGCGCGTCGTCGGAAGCGAAGAGGCAGAATAACCAGAGCGCGAATCCAACCGCGGTGAGACACATCGACGCGAACCCGTACGCCTCGCTCGGTGAGACGTCACGAAGTTCGTCGACATCGTTCGTGGCGTCATCGGGCGTCGCGTTCGCCGACGCCGCGCGCGGTTCGGCGGCGCGCGCGGGCATCGAGGACGAATGTATAAATACGTCGAAAAGCGATGCGCGCGTCAGTGACTGACGCGCGCGATGTCCCCGCCGACGCTCGTGCTCGGCGCCCTCGTCGGCGCGCTCGCGAAGACATTGGTCGATCGCGTCGGTGAACGTCGAAGCGTCGGCGATGACGCGCAAAAAGGTCGAGCGGGCGGTGATGAAAGTATTCGTGATGACAAAGCCGCAGCCGAGACGCCGCGCGTCTCGACGACGGAGACGAGGCGTAAAACGGTGGTGTACATGGATGGGTGCTTCGACACGATGCACTACGGACACGCGAACGCGCTGAGGCAGGCGCGGGCGTGCGGGGACGTGTTGTTGGTGGGCGTGGTGAACGACGCGGAGATTCGTCGGTGCAAAGGACCGCCGGTGTGCGACGAGGTAGAGCGATTGGAGATGGTGCGCGCGTGTAAGTGGGTGGACGATGTTATTGAGGACGTACCGTATGAGGTTACGGATGAGTTCACGGATGAGTTGTTCGAGAAGCACGGTGTGGATTACGTCGTGCACGGCGACGACCCGTGTCTGCTGCCGGACGGGACGGACGCGTACGCGTACCCAAAGAGAATAGGGAAATATAAGGAGATCAAACGCACGGAGGGGGTGAGCACGACGGATATCGTAGGGCGGTTGCTTCGCATGGGCGCTCGAGCGGCTGGGGAGGAGGTAAAGGAGGAAGAAAAGGAGGCTACGTTTTGTACGACGAGCTCGCGCATCGCGCAGTTTGGAACGACGCGCGCCATTCCGGCGGACGCCAAGGTCGTGTACGTCCACGGCGCATTTGACGTGTTCAACCGTGGTCACATCGATCTGTTACGGCGCGCCAAGACGCTCGGGGACTTCGTGCTCGTGGGTGTGCACGCCGACGCCGAGGTTCGATCGAGACGCGGCGCGGACCATCCGGTGCTCAACGAAAAGGAGCGCGCACTGAGCGTTTTAGCCTGCCGATACGCGGATGAGGTCGTCATCGGCGCTCCGATGAAGATTACGCACGATTTATTGACCACGTTCAACGTCGCCGTCGTTGTCGCCGAAGACGAGGACGAATACTTGATCGGCGGCGAAGATGTCAACGCGCTCGCGATGAAGCGCGGCGTGTTCCGCCGTGTTGATCGCGAACACGACTGCTCGGTGCTCACCGTGGCGAAGCGAATCATGGAAAATCGCGCCGAGTTCGAGGCTCGCAACGCACGAAAAGTGAAGAGCGAATCGGCGTACTACGCCCAAAAGGCGCACGTCGCCGAGACGTGAGCGTGTCGCTCCGTCACTCGACCCCCTCTCGCTCGACGCGCGCGCGCCGCGTACGCGCCCATCGACGTGAAGCGAACGTCTAAAATATTTACACCGATGAAACCTAAAACGCGATTCGTTTCGTACCAACCAATCGTCTACGGGATCTGTCTGTTATACGGCTGTCCTTGGCCCAGCGCCGCGCGCTCCGCGCGCTCCCGCTTCACCTGCGCCACGATCGGCGTCAGATAAAAATCAAACGGCGTCTGCAGCGCCTGCTCTTCCTTGGACAAATACGCGTGCTTCATCGAGAGATCAATCGCGCGCTTCAACCGCTGCGCCCGCATGTCCCGCGCCTCCGGCGTCAGCCGTTTCAGCGCCTCACCGACGTCCAGATCTTGGCCCTCGTCCAGGAGATCGTCGTACCGCAGGCCAACTTTTCGGAGTTCGTTCCCGACCTGCGCCTTGTACGACTTGGACAACGCGTCGAGCCACGGTTCGAACATGCGCGCGAGCGCTCGGGACATCGCGACGAAGCGCGCGCGTCGCGGTGTCGCGCGTGCGCGTCGAGGGGCGATCGATCGCGCGCGGGGCCGGACGCGCGGCGACCGATGCGTATTCAAAGAATTTTAAGCCGATACGTGCGTCTGTGTATACATGGGCGTGTGTCTCGTCGTATACGACACGCGTCGTCGGCGCGGCGTTCGGCGCACGGCGCGACGCGCGACGCGGCGACGCGCGACGTCGAGACCGCCCGTCGCGATGTCTCCCGTCGACGACGACGACGACGCGCCGAAGCGTCGGGCGCGCGCGGCGCTGAAGGTGGTCGAGAGCGCGTCGACGGCTGTGGAAAGAATGCGAGACGGTTTGAAATCCGCGTCGCGGGATGATTTCAACGACGCGCTCGACGCGTTGCGACGATCGAGGGCGCGCGCGCGGTGGTTCGACGTCGTGGAGGATGATGTGGAGGCGTCGTCCACGGGTGCGGCGATCGGGCGGGAGGTGACGGCGGCGATCGAGCGGGGGGAGGATTACGGGACTTTTTGGCTGTCGACGAGCGGACGAAGCGCGCGACGGCGCGCGGAGGAGGGGACGTGCGTCGAGCGGGCGTGCGGGGCGATGTTTGAATCGTGTGTTGGATTGAGACAGCGCGAGTACGAGGTTTCGGCGACGTGCATGGCGAGCGGGACGAGAGATCGGTCGAAACCGCGGGATTTGCTGGAGGATGGCGGAGACGACGCGAGCGGGACGAGCGGGACGACGGTCGTGAGATTAGAGAGTGTGAGCGATGCGGTCGCGGCGTACGAGGACGCGATGCATCGGGCGCAGAGTGTTTTCGTAGAGGGCGGGGTCGAGGTCGATCGGCACGTCGTATTTACTCTTCGTTTGAAGCTCTGGAGTGACGCAGAGACAGCGACGGAGACAGAGTCAGAGGATGAGCCTGTCGTCACACGCGTGCATTTCGTCTTTGTGGCGCCGTACGTTCCATCCGCCGGGATCATTGGAGGAGCTGGAAAGGTCGATCGCGCCGCGCGAATCGACTGTACACGATCGTTGGCGGCGCTCATGGCGGTGCTACGATCGCTTGATTCGCACACGTCGGACAGCGCGTCGCGACAAATCAAAGCGTGGCGTGAGTCTCCTCTGACGCGTTTGATGTGGACGTGCGGGATGCTCAACCTTCATTGTGCGACGTTATACGCGGTTTGTGAGAACGTCCTGTGTCACGCGGTGGAAGACGACGAGACTTCGCCTCTCGTTTTGCCACCCGCGGTGGAGGGTGTACTGAAATTTGCTCTGCAACTGAAGGAAACTGTGGAAGACAGCGAACCGACACCGCGGACGCGGAATCCGCCGGTGCCGACACCACCGAGAGTGCATACATCCGTGAAGTCGAGAGAGCCGACGTCATCGGTCGCGGATCGCAGGACGAGATTAACGCGCGCGGACACCGTGACGTGGAGGCGCGCACCTACCGGCGAAGCGCGCCGTTCGGTGACACCTGCGCCGGCGGATGGCATGCCGGAATCTTCGCAGGGTGAAAAGATCACGCTCGAACAAGTGGATGCAATAGCGCGATTTATTCGAACGCATGCGAGCGGGTTGAGTGGAAGACGCATGGAGGGAACAATGCGAAGGTTGATGACGGAGTGGACGCAGATGTCCCAGTCGTACGAAACTATACTTGAGGACTTTGGAACGCTCGAGGAACAGCTCGCGGCGGCACAGCTGCGCGAGGACGAGGCAGTCGAGTACGCTGAACAGATTACCTCCGACCTTGCGGTGACTTCGCGGTGGTGCGAGAGCTTGGAGGAGGAAAAGGCTGGTGTTCCGGCGCGCATCAAACAGGCGGCGATGGAGGCCGAACGCGTGGCCATCGCGCGCGCAGACGCGTTGGAGAAACGCGTGAAGGAACTCGAAGCACAGCTTGTTAGAAATTCCGTACCTGAGATGGAGCGTGTGAGGGACGAGGCTGAACGCGCGGCGAAGGAAGCGATAGAGAAGTACGAGCAGGAGTTGGAGAAACGCGTGAGCATTCAAGGCACACTCGAGGGAGTGATCGGCACGCAGCGTACTCTTCAGGAGGAAATTGAGTCCGTTCGACGCGAATTAGAAACGAGCGAGCGCGCTCGTAAGGCGGAGCGCGAAGAGACCGAACGTGTTCGGAATGACCTTCGTCAGCGTTACGAAGTCGAGGGAGAGTTGCGCAACCGAATCGCCGAATCAGAGCAATCGCACGAAAAGAGCATGAGGGCTGCGCGGCAAGCGACAGTCGAGCGCGAAGACGAGCTCAACGATATGCGTCGTCAGAGAGACGACGCACTTCACAAGGTACACCAGAAGGAGGAGGAAATTGTCGAAGCAAGAGCGAATGCTCGAGCAAGTTCATTAAACGCGGAGGTAGCGCAATCGGCTTTGAGTGACGCGAAGGAGGTGCAGCAAAAGAACGCGAAGGAAATTGAGGCGCTAAAGCTGCGAAACTCTGATTTGATCGTTGAGATCAAGCACGCGAAGCGAGAGCTCGAAGAGACCTGTATCGCTCTTAATAACGTCAAGGAGAAGTTGGAAGAACTAGAGGACGGCTCAGAGGAAATGATCCAGAAACGACGCGAGATCGATGACGAAGTGCACCGTCTGAAACTCACCGTCGCAGACCTCGAAGCGAAGAATAAGTCCATAGAAATGGATCGCGAGGTCGCGTATGAAGCGGCGGACGTCGCTCGCATGGAGCACGCGAAGATCATGGCATCGGTACTGGATTTGACGGAGGAAGTCTCGCGTCTACAGTCATCGCTCTTTGCAGCGCAAGAAACCACGCGCGTACTGTTAGACGAGGAAGCGGCTCGTCTGAAACAACTCGTGCCGCCTGTTCCAGACAACGAGTACGTTAGCCCGGAATGGTTGCGCGACACTAGCTGGCATCAAAACCAAGCACGATCCCTCGCGTCGGCATCGTGACAACGCGCGCGTTTGTAACATACTTCACTCTGAGGCGCTCTCCAATGTCCGACGATGTCCCGCACATCGAAGACACCGCAAACGTGTTCCTAGCCGTGTACGCCGCGCGAGGTGGCACGATCGGCTTCAGCGTGTACGATAGGGACGCAAACATGCTTGCACTGACTCAGGGCGTAGACATCGCAGAGGATGGCGATGAAGAAGAAAGTTTACGAACGTACATCGCGCGAACCGTTCAAGCCGACGTCGTGTACTGCTCGGATGAGCTCAAAAGCAAGTTGGAAGAGATATTTGCCAGAGAAGGAGACCGCGTGCCATTCGTCGTCGGCGTGACACGTCGTATGTTTCCGAAGCCAGTCGAGTCGATGAACATGCTCTGCAACGTCGGCGGGTTTGCAAGTCGAGGAGAACTGGCGTCGTGCGTCGAGTTACACGACTCCGATGCCGCAATAACAGCCGCTGGTGCGCTGATATCCGCGATGAAAAAGAACGAGGGGCTCGCACTCGCGCTCTCGACGATTCCAGCGACAGTACAGGAGTTGTCCATATCGAGTTACATGAAGATCGATCCAGAGTCGCTTTGCGCCATCGGGATCTTTGTACCCGATGAATTTCGTGAGGTATCCGCGAAGTGCGAGCGATTCAAGAAAGACGTGAACCAAATCTTCCTAGATTCTGTATCCACAAGAGGTGGTAAAAGACTCCTCGAGACGTGGATGAAGAGGCCACTTCTGAATATGCCTGCCTTGCAGGAGCGTCGTGACTGCGTCGAACATCTCGTAAAATCTGGTTGCGTCGACGTTTTGAGAAAAGGAATGACAGCGTCATTAGACGCAGACACCATTCTTATGAAGTTCACGACAGAGGCACGACAGTCCAAGACGGATTGGACGAGATTGGCCAACTTCTTTAAAGCCGCCTCGTCGTTTTATGATGTTCTGTGTGAGATGTACCTGGACGAAACCACCAACGTCATATCGACGACAGTGACTCCAGCAGCCATTCAAGACTTCATCGACTGCGCCAAGTATAGGTTACCGAAGTTGAAGTCGCTCGTCGAGCGCTGCATCGATGTCGACGAGATTTACCTTTTGACAGAGCACGATTCGCCCACGCTGACGTCGTACGTTCGTTCGGGCGTGTGTCGAGAGCTCGATGAACTACGCTCCGTGCATCACGGTCTACCAGCTCTTCTTGAACACGTTTTAAAGATCGAGTTAGAGCGGGTTCCATCTTTTCTGCGTAGAGACGAGTGGCTCGCGAAGCTCTCAGTGGAGTATTTGCCTCAGGTTGGGTATCTTTTGAGAAGTGTAGGGATAATTCCCGTCTCCGTTCTCGAAGAAATGGGATGGAAGCACGTGTTCGATGAAGGCGAAGAGTCGTTCTACGAGTTCGACGCAGGCTTACGGCTGGCAAGTGAGATCGGAGACATTCTGTTCTCCATCTGCGATCTACAAGGGCGGCTCTTGAATGAACTCAGAATAGAAATCTTAAAGCACGCCACTTTGTTTCGCGATTTGTCAAGGTGCATCAGTGAACTGGACGTCCTGCTAAGTTTCGCCGACGTAGCGATAAACTATAACATGGTGCGCCCGATACTCGTCGACGATGAAACGCTGAAGATTGAGGGCGGTCGGCACATCCTATACGAATCGTTTATCGACCATCAGTTTGTGCCTAACGATATCGAGCTGCCTTCCGATCGCGATCGAGTTGTCATCATAACTGGACCAAATGGCAGCGGGAAGACGGTGGCTCTGCAAACTATCGGCTTGATCACGTACTTAGCACACATCGGGTCGTTTGTTCCCGCAAACAGAGCGACCGTTGGTCTAACGGATCGGATTTTCACAGGAATGGTCAACTTCAAAGATGACGCCGCAACAAAAACCAAAGTGAGCGAATCATCATTTACTTACGCGCTCAATCGTGTGTCTCGAATGATAAACAACGCCACCGATCGGTCTCTATGTCTCATCGACGAGTTTGGGACACAGACTAGGAGTGATACCGGTGCAGCTCTCTTGGCGGCCATTGCCGAGTATTTCGCGGAGACGGAAGCGCCACCGAAATGTCTCTTCACCACGCACTTCAGGGAAATTTGTGACCCGGCGATAGTGGGACCGATTCCTCGATTCATCACGCACATGCGCATGCGTGCCATAGTCAATGTGTCCGAAGCCGCCGCCGACGACGAAGATGAATCTGTCGCCTTGACTTTCATCCTCGAACCGGGTGTTGCCGATTCCTCATACGCCATTGAGACGTTCAAGCTCATTGGCATGGAAAAGGACCCTGAAGGTCGAGAATTCATAAAACGTTTTCAATATCTCATCGACCGCGAAGATCGCGCGCGACGCGGCGAGAAGGTCGAACCGATCGACCCCTGGGGTGACGAAGATCAGGACGAGCGACAGAAAGTCTTCGACGCCATCGCCAGTCGGGCGCTCGCCGTCGCCGACGATCTCACCGAAGAAAACGCCCGCGCTTTCGTCGAGTGGTTCGACACCGCGCTCGTCATCGATCGCTTTCTCGTCCCGAGCTTTAAGGATCCATGATTCTCGAACCGACGTGCCCTATGCTTCCATTCTAAGTGCCACGCGCGTGCAACCCGACCCATCATCAATCTTCCTATTTGTAACTGAATTGACGTCACCGCGTCAAGAAACTCCACACACGCCTCCGTGCGCCCCGAACTTGCGTCTCGCTCGCTCGCGAATAAACGCCCGATCTCATGATCGCCGCGATCGCGTCGCCCCGGACCGCTGTGCCTCCCCGCGCCGTGCGCGTGCGAGCGCAATCCACCAAGGGATGCGTCGTCAGTCATCGACCGACCGCACTCGAATCTCGCTCGAACGTGCGTCTCGTTCGCCGTGAAGGCGTCGTGGACGGGTTCTTCGGAAGAACACGATTATCCTCGGTCGTCGTGCGCGCTACGGACGACGACGCGATCGCCAAGGGCGACGACGAGGCGGTGGCAAACATCTCGCGGAAAGTGGCGCGCACGGCGCGCGCGTGCAAGACTCTCGGACGATGGGCGTTCTGGTCGCAGCTCGTGTTGACCACGATCGCGGCGGTGATCGTGGTATTTTCGTTCCTGTATAAGGGGTTGACGAAGAGCACGGACGCGGGGTTGTACTTCATCCTGTTTGGATTAATCGCCGGGTACTTCACGACGTTTTGGTCGCTGGGCATCGTGCGCCTGGGCGATAAGCTCCGCAAGGGGGCGAAGGATCTCGATCAGGTACCACCGAGGACGGATGTCATTCGCACCCTCTCCACCGGGCTCACGGTGAACGTCATCGGGCTTGGGGCGACGATCATCGGTTTGCAAGCAACGACGGGGATGTTATTCGCCAAGACGCTCACAGCGGCGGCACAAATGCCCATGTATGGCGCCCCAGTCGTTGGCACCGGCGCGGCATTGGACATCTTCTTGGTTCAGGCGGCGTCGAACGCGATGCTCGGCCACTGGTTCGGGCTCGCTGCGAGTTTGTGGCTTCTGAGAACTGTCAACTTGCCTTCTCCCACGAAGGCTGCGTGAGCAGAAGTACGGTAGCGTTTAATGTAATTCACAAAAGATGTCAAGCGAAAAAACAGAATCGATTCCCTTTCTAATTCGCATCGATTTCCATGAGTTCACGACGAGCTACGTGGATATTCATCATTAATGAGAATTAAAATTGCAGCCATCGGTGCTCTAACATTTTTTCGGCAGTCGCACGTTTCGATGGGTTGAAGTCTAGCATCGGCACCAAAAAATCGCTCAAATCCTTAGCATCCTTCTCGGGCATATTGTACTTTTCTATAAGCACGCGCTCGCACGGCCAAAACTTGAGTGAACGAATGTGTCGAAGCTCGCCGCTTCGGTTGAAGAACTCTTTACTGTACTTGCCGGACAACGCGAGGTGCTTAGGCATGCGACCGACGAGCTCCATCATGAGTGCCAAATGATCCTCGTCGCGATCGTAATCTTTTCCACTTCGTGGATCGAACAACACGTCCCCCGTGGCGAGCTCGAACACGATGCACGCGAGACTCCAAATGTCGGCACTCGTGTCGTACTTCGCGCCGAGAATAACTTCCGGAGCTCGATACTGCCTCGTCTGAATGTCCTGCGTGAACTGACGGTCAACCCAACACGCGTTTCCTAAGTCGCAAATTTTCGCGTCCAGACGCTTGAGCAAGCTGTATGGCAGCAAATCGACGCAATCAATGTCGTCCTCTGAGTTTGTCTCCTTTGACGTGTCGTTCTCAACCTGCCCGGACTCGCGCTTCGATGACGCCACGTCTAGGCGTTCGATTTGATCCACCAACGTCGGCGTCCCCGCCTTGACGTCCTTCCGCGGGTCGACAACTTTATTCTTGGACTTTCGTCCTCGCTTCTTCTCCGGGAGCGCCAGGGTCAACAACACGTTCTCCGGCTTCAGATCGGTGTGAATTATGTTCTTCACATCGTGCAAGTACCTTAATCCGCGAAGCATCGCCCGCGTCAGCGCCTTCACCCCTAACAGAGGCACCCCTAAGTACTCGTATCGCTTGATCAGCGTCAACAAGTTATCCCCCAACACGTCGAACACCATGCACACGTGCGTCCCATTCGGCCCTTGATGGGTGAAGTGATCGTGTAATCTCACTACGTTATCACTCCCCAGCTCTCTTTCCTCGGCGCTCGCCGCTTGATCTTTACACTGGGTCAAGATTTCGATCTCATCCTTCGCCGCCTCGGTGTAACTCCCGCTCGACTTCTGAATCTTCAGCGCCCTGTACGTCACCTTTCCGTTCATCTCACGTCCCGACCCGACGTCTTCGACGAGCCAACACGTGGAGAAGTGTCCCCACCCGAGCTTACGCCGAACGACGTAGCGATCGTCGCCGTAGCGTTCGCCCAGTTGCACGGGGTGGTAGCCGCCTCGCTTGTATCCATCCGCGCCCTCGTCCTCGGACGACGACGCGGAGGCGCGGTCGGAGGTGGAGGACCCGTCTTCGGGCGCACTCGTGGACACGTTCGAGCCGTCGCGCGCGGTGGACATGGCGCACGCGGGCGCGCGCGCGCGCGAGTGCAGACGCGGGAGATGTGGAATCATCGTGAAGTTTGGGTTTGACGACTCAGGACTCAACGCTATTGAGACTCCAAGCAGAGGGCGCCGCGGGGCGCGACGCGCCGGGCGGCGGGCGGCAGGCGGTGACGAAGGAATCAGAACCGAACGAGCACGCAGAGCGCACCGATGACGCCGAGAGCGGTGATGATCGTCCGTCGTCTTCGCTCGCCGAGGGGTGGAATCGTGGGTGGGCCGATGAGGTTGCACGCGGCGTGACACGTCGTCGCCGCGACGAGCGATTCCGTGCGGACGAAGACGCGACTCGCTAGGGCGCCGAACGCCGAGGTGTACGCGAGCTGGTTGCGCGTGGAGCGAAGAGCGAGCGCGAATGATGCCCCTCTGGCGCGCATGGCGAAGAAGTGGTGGGCGTGTGCGAGGGCGAAGAGCGCGGTGGACCACGCGGACGCCGCGAGCGCGGATGCTCCGGACGCGCGCATCGTCGCCGTAGCGCACGCGCGAAAAACCAACTCTTCCATCAACGGCGCGTGCGCGAAATCCCGCACATTCATCCACATCGTTCGTCCACTCGACGTGAGCTCGCGATATCGCCCACATCTCGCCGTGGAGCTCGTCCACTCCCCCGCCAAGAGCGTCAACGCCACGACTAAACCGTACGCGCACGCGCGCCACGCGCCCATCCTCGGACTCAATCCCAACGCCCGCCGCATCGACCCCCACCGCTCGCGGTCGAACGCGTCGATGAACGCCACATCAACCCCACCCTCGCCTCTCGCGATCGCCCAGATCGCGAGAGCGACCGAGACGATCGAACTCGTCGTCGTTGTCAGAAAACGCCGAGCGATCACCTCCGTCGAGTCCCTATCGCTCTTGAGCGTCGACGCGCGCCCGCCGTAGAGCGTGAGCACGTACACCGCAACGATTACCGCGGTCGCGACGTATCCGTCGAGCGCGCGAGTCATCGGACGAGTGCCCGCGCGTCCACGTGCCGACGACGCCGTCTGAAGACGAACCGTCAACCGACTTTTTTGAATTTTCAATCCCCGCCCCACACCATGGCGTCGGACGATTCGTGGACGTACGCCCTGGATGTCTCCATCGCGCACGTCCGCGCGTTCACGAGCGCGTTGAGCTCACTGCGGCTGGCGCGAAGGCAACGAGCGAAGGTTCGCGCGGACGCGAGCGGGTTAGCGATCGCGACGAGCGATGATTCGAAGACGTGTCACGCGAGCGCAAACTTTCGAAGCGAAACGTTCCGTTCGTACGCCTTGGACGAAACGGCGGCGCGAATGGCGAGCGGAGGTGGGGCGCGGGGACGAGGGGCGTCTTTTGAGATCGATCTCGCTGCGCTGATCGATGTTTTGGGGGCGTTTCAAGGGAAGGATGGCGACGCCGAGGCGCGCGTACGGTGGCCGAGCAGAAGCGGGGCGCTCACGATCGAGTTAGAGTGTGCGAGGGGAACGGGAGAGCGAGAGTTGCGACAAGGGGTGTGCGCGGAGATCATGCCCGAAGTAAGCGCGGAAGGGAGCGCGGAGACGGAGATGAGCTTTCGAGACGAGGCGAACGCGTTCATGATGCCGACCGGTACGCTCAAGGAGATAGTGGACGATTTAGAGTGGCCGTCAGGGGATGTGGACATCGAGATCGACGAGAATTCGCTCAAATTTAGTGCGCACGGGGCGGAAATCGGTGATCTCACCGTGGACGTTGACGTGAGCGAGGGTAGATTGACGGAGTTTACGTGTCGCGAGCCGAGCGTGTCGCGGTACAAGTATCGATTCCTCAAGAGTGCTACGTCGGTTGGGGCGAATTTCCTAGGAAGTGGGGTCGCAGGCGGAGGCGATGACACAGTGACGATGACGCGCGTCTCGGTGTCCAGCGTTGGGTTCTTGAAGGTGGTGCACCTGTTGCATCTGAGTCGAAACCGGATGTCGTTTACCTCCGGTGGGATAAATGAGAGCATGGTGCCGGTGACGTTCATCGTGAATCCGGTCGAGGACATTGACGACGATGCGGATGGGGAAGACGAAGAGTAGAGATAGGAACGAATGAAATGTAAGATACGAGTCATGGTTACGATGTTGATCGACTCTTACGAGACAGCACAATCCAAGGAATTTGACACGCCACGCAAGCGACGACAACCGCACACGACCGCACGCGTTCATATCGCAACGCGCGACGAACTCGCTCGCGCGAGTCTCTATCAATAACCACATCATCAAATACTCTGTCGTATCGCGTGATGACGGGCACGTGGTCGACGCTCTGCGTCAGTGCTAGCACTCGCCCAAAGGCATCAGCGAAAGGCTCGCGCGCTACGTTCATGGACACGTACGCGAGGACAAAGAGCATCGTGCGCCGTAACCAGTCGTGCACGTAGCTCTCCACAGAGCAAGTAGTTTCAACCGCGTGCGCTCTGATAACGCCATCTATCGGTCCAACGCAAGCGTGCGCCGCAGAGCACGTCGTCGATGCGCATTCCAACGTTGTTGAAGCGGAGTCATCAAGCTTGAACGATTCCTCGACGCATGATTTCACAGCGCGCGATTTTGCGTGAGTGAGACGGCCGTCTTCATTCAGCACCGCCACGCACGTATTGATGGCGAGAAACCGTTCTCGTGCACTCTTGATCTCTGTCTCCACACGATGTCGCTCGAGTTCTGCAACGTTGAATAGCTCTGTTGCGCGCGCCCGACGACTATCGCACTCCTGGGCGATGCTGTACGATAACTGCAAATCAGAGGCAACCGATCTTGTTCGCGGAGAGATATCTACATAAGAGCTCGCCAAGCTGTGTGCATAAGCACTCGCAAACGTACCGTTTCGGCTATCGATGCAACCTGCGACGTACGCTCTACGCGTGAAGCCGTACACATACAGCACCGCCGCGGCAACGCCTATAAAGATGACCAGGCGCACGATGGCTACCATGACTGGATCAGCGAAAAAGCGGGCAATGCGTTCGTATATCGTGACTTTCTTCACGTCAAGCTCTCGATCGCGATCGATTAAATTCAGCGGTTCCAAGTCCAGCGCGCCGTAGGCGAAATGCTTTGAAACCGCGGAGACGCATCGAATGACACGGTACGTTACGTCGACGTTCACGAGTCCAGCGAAGGCTACGTCGGCAATCGAAAGTATGTTTGGCATTTGTGGTGCGTCTAAATCGAGGTCCAAGAAGTCAAAATCGTCCACATTTGGTTCGAAATTTGTCGACGTGGAGTTTGTGGTTATGAAATTCATCGACGCAACCGTTCGATTCACTCCGAAACCTACTGCGTCGGAAGCGGTACTCGACGACTCTTGGAGCGCTTCGCCGAACGCGTTCGACTTTTCACGAATCTCTTTCATGATGATTTCTGTGAACGAATCTGCGTCTGTCGTCGTGGTGTTTTCACGGTGAGCTCGAAGTGACGGTGGATCGTAATCAGTCAACAGTGATGGAATGCTCACATTCGTTGCCATGTCTATCGACGTGGCTTCTACAAGGGCACCGTACGCATTTTCAGACGCCGACGAGACTATCGATGAAAAATATTCAATACTTTCGCTCATCGTTTCGGTGAAAGCGTCCATCGGCAAGTCTGGTGATGGGATTGAAAAGTCTGGCGCTGAAAGACTTGGTGGCATCGGTATGTCCATGGTAGGCGTGACCGGGAGGTCTATGCCACCAATCGAGTCCTGTAAAGATTCGACCGTCGGTCTAACGACTGTGTCGAAGTTGTGAAACCAGCTCTGTGCGGTCTGGAAAGTTAAATTGATGCTGGACGCGTATGCTCCAAGTTCGTTGACGTTTACTCGAAAATCTGCCAATGCCTGTTCAATTGACGTGTTTACGATCGTGCTGTGCATTGTTTGGGCGGCCAATCTCGCGGCTCGAGACGCGTCATCAAACATATCGTGTGCACTTGCATTGATTCCACGAATAACCGCCATAGACGAGGCGTGCATCTCCTCATAGCGCTCTGCTGTGAAGGCCGTAATCTCTCTGGAGATGGTCTGCAAGCTCTCCGTTTTGTTGGCCATATATTCAACGTCGTACTTCGAGCGAGCATCCAGGTTTTGCATCACAGATCTGATTGTTGTCTCGATTTCTCGTGTGTAAACGGCATGCGATGACCGTAGACGTTCTCTTTCGTCTACGTCCACCGTCTCATTCAACACGAACAAGACTGAGCGTTTGGGATCGAGCATTGCGCTCGATCGCATACAAGTCGCCGTCCAGAACGTCGAAACATCCGAATCAGCTCGAACTACCCGCAGTTGCGACGCGAGGGCGTCCAGCGCCCGCGTGCAACGTCGCTCTCGCCTCCTCAGGGCGCGAAGTGCTGAGTCGTTTGCGGCATCGATGCGCTCAGCTCTGGCGTTCTCTTTTTGAGCCATCTCATGCGTTCGTCGAGCGCATCCCGAGCGCGCGCGACGAGAGCACGCGTCGTGCCATGCCTTCTGGCGCAAAATCTCCCGCGCGGCATCGCGCCATGCCTCCCGAACGTCATCTAAAGTAGCTGCTTGACCGTCTTTGGCTCGCTCCGTCGCAGCGCGCACCGCCGGCGCGGACGCTATCCAAATCGTCGTCGCGGACACAGCCGCCGCAAGCGCACGCCTCCTCCGTTCGCTCGTCCTTTGCTCTCTCCTCTCGCGTTCATCGCGCTCATTGGCCGTCATGCGCCAATAATAGACACCGCTTCCAACTCGCTCGTCTCAAAGCACTTTCAAATATAACAACCGTCTTGGCAACTGTGTCGTCAACTCTCGCCGCACTCCGCGACTCGAGCAAATTCAGTCTCCGATGACGGATTCCGCTCCGAGACACCCACGCATTGGCGTCGGCGTCGTCCTCAGGCGCCCCGACGGCGCCTTCGTCGTCGGTCGTCGAAAGAGTTCGCACGGTTCGGGACAGCTGGCTTTACCCGGCGGTGCTCTGGAGTGGCGAGAGAGCCTGTCGACGTGCGCATCGCGCGAAACGCTTGAGGAGTGCGACGTAGTGATCGCCGAGAGCGATTGGGTGATCCCTCTAGCGATCTCGGAGGCGGTGATCGACGAGAAGAACCACTGGTTGACGGTATTCGCGCTCGCAGATGTGCCGGGCGACGAAGCGCCGAGAAACGCCGAACCGCATAAATGCGAGGGGTGGTTCTTTATCACGATGAATGACGTTCGAGAGATGATTAAAAACGATCCCGAGTCGGTGTTCCTGCCATTGAGACTGCTCGCGGCGAATGAGTCGGTGGACGTGAAGACGGCGGGCTTCTCTCCGTGACCGGCTTCAAAGTTCGAACGCTCCAAGTGTCAGAGGTCGACGCGAGACGCGCTCGCCGCGCGGATCCGCGGCGCTTGAAGACGTACGCGCGGACGAGCGAAGTCGTGCAGAACTGGAGCGCGGTCGAACACGAAGCGAGCGAGGGAGGCTTGAGGTTGAATTTCTGATCGACGAAGCACTCCTCTAGCGATGCCTCCGAAGAAGGTTCTCGGCGAAAAGCGCCTCACGGCTGAGGAAAAGAAGCGCAAGGAAGAGAAGGAGAAGAAGGAGAAGGAGAAGGAGAGGAAGGAGCGCAAGGCGCAGCTCGCGGCAGACCGGACGTTTGGTTTGAAAAATAAAAATGTTTCCGCCAAGGTTCAGGCGAGAGTGGAGGAGTTGAGACGAGACGCGCCGACGAAGGAGGCCGAGCGCGCGCGCGCGGAGGCTCGCGCGCGGGAGAGGAAGAAACAGAAGGAGGCGGAAGAGGCGGCGAAGCGAGAGTTGGAGATTTTGATGGGCGTTCGGTCGGAAGTGGATCGCAAGGTGACAGACCCGGAGGACGGAGATGACTTGACCGGCGAAATGGGGGGGATGTCCTTGGATGGAAACGAGGCCGATGGGGTACAGGAAGAACGTCACAAGCTCACGGAGGAGAAGCGTCGTGAAATTTTAGCACAAATTGAGTTGGAGAAGGCTCGCGAGAAGGCGGAGGAGCTGAAGGCCCAGGCGGCGTTTAGTCCGTATCGCGTTGACGACGAGGGATGGTATGATTCGGACGAAGATCCGATCGAACTCTTGAGAATGGTCGCTGGGAATAAGCGGGCGATCATCATGCCTAGGAGTCACCGCGATGCACAGATGGCGGACTAGTAGCGCGCGAGCGCAAACCGTCGACACGGCGGAAGTATAATCAAACGAATTGCCCAAGGAAACGAACGCAGGCACCCACGCTCATCACATCTCCTGTAAAGCGCGTTCCTTGATCGCGTCGCTGCGTCGCAAGCGCTAATCGCAGCGTCTCATTCGTTGCGCGCGCGCTGCGAACGCCCCGAACCCTCGTCGCGTTGCCCGCCTCACTCTCGAGCACATGCCCGAAACCGAGAACGGTGATTCCGGAGTCACAATCGACGCCGACACCGTTCTCGACGTCATGGCTCGCGTGCGAGCGTCTCAGAGCGTGAATATCGCGCGAGCGGTCATCCTATCCATCGCCTGGGCGTGCACCAGCTCCGCGCTGATCTTTCTCAACAACCACCTCCTTCGCGAGCACGGCTTCTCGTATCCGATGATGCTGTGCTCCATGGGTATGACATCCTCTTGGTTGATCTCATTCGTGTGCATCACCACTGGACGGGTGAAGCGGAAACACGCTGGGTTGATTACGCGCAGGTGGTACGCGAGACACATTCTTCCGATCGGTTGCCTCGGCGCGGCGTCGCTAGGATTCGGAAACTATGTGTACCTGTACCTAAGCGTAAGCTTCATTCAGATGTTGAAAAGCGCGGTGCCGGCGGTGACGATGGCGGTGATGTACACGGCGGGATTGGAACGACTGCACGGGACGACGCTCACAGGCGTGGCGGTGGTGACGATTGGGACGTTCATAGCGGCGTACGGAGAGGTCAAGTTCAGCGCGATCGGGATGATGATGATGATGACGAGCGAGTTTGCAGAGGCGATTAGAATGGCGTTTTATCAGTACGTATTAGGAAATTTGAAGTTTGATTTGATAGAGGGGCTCTACGTGATGGCGCCGGCTTCGCTGGCGTTTCTCGGTTTGGGCATCGTAGCGCTCGAGTTGAATCAGTTCGTGCAAGAGAGGGGATGGGAGATCATCGCCGCGGCGCCGCACTATTTCTTAGCCGCGGCATTCATGGGTTTTGGGGTGAATATTCTCACGCTTGGGGTGATCAAGGCGACGAGCGGGCTGACATTCAAAGTTATGGGTCAGGCAAAGAACGCAGCGGTGATCCTCCTCGCGGTGATGCTCTTCGGTAATCCCGTGACAACCGTCCAGCTCATCGGGTACGCCATGTCGTTGTTTGGGTTCTTCATCTACCAGCGAGGGAAGATGCAGCAAGAGGCTGTGAAGAGGCTCTCAGACGGTGATAAGTTTCACGGAAAATAGACTATATTGCCTTGTACATCTTTTGCAATTTTTCTGAGTTCCCAAACGTTCACCACACGGCCTTATCGCTGGGACAAAAAGCTCAAGAACGATAGTGCGCATTACCTCGTAAAAGGAAAATTATTTTTGCAGTTCTTCTAAACTTCTAAACGTTCATACGACGGCGATTTTCACCTCCCAACTGTACCCTTGTCCGCGTGCGAGCGGCGCTCCTCTTGTTGTCCGCCTTGACCCGGCATCGGGACGCCCGCGGCCTCATATTGCGCTTGCTGTTGCGCGAGGAGGCGCTCATAGTCTCGCACCTCCATGACGTTCAACCCCTTGGTGATGACCTTGTCGATGATGCCATACTCAATCGCCTGGTTCGGGGTAAAGTAACGCGTCCGGTCGAGGTCCTTGCGCACCGTCTCACCGTCCTTGCCCGTGTATTCAGCCATCAGGTCCATGTACGTATCCTCATACATGGCGCATTCGTTGGCGCGAATCTGCACGTTTTGCGTGGAGTCAAAGGTGCGGTTCAATTTTGGCGGGCCGGTAGAGATTTGGACGTGCGGCAGGGCGTGTCTGCGGCCCTTGTCGCCTCCCGCCAAGATCAATGATGCGTTACCGTGACACTTACCGACGGCCACGGTGTGGATCGGCGATCGAATGTACCGCATGGTATCCAAAATAGCGTACGCCTCGTTATCCATGCCGACCACCTCGCCCTTCTCGTTGATGGACCCCCCAGAGTTGATGTACACGTAGCACGGTTTCTCCGCCTGCTCGTAGCCCAGATACAAGAGTTCAGCGACGACGAGCTCTGTCACCGCCGGCACGAGGGACATACCGATGTAGCAGATGCGCGCGTTCAACAACAAAGACGGAAGATCCGGTGGCGCCACCGCGCCCGCTGGCGCCATCCCCCCGTGCGTCATCGTCGCCCCGCTCATCACCGTTCTGTACCTCACCGGTTCGTTCCCATCGCTCGGCATCTCTCTCGCATACGCCGCACGCGCGCCGAGATCGAGTGCCTTGACGCTGAACCGCTCGTTCGCCTCCTGGCCCGAGAGTCCGAGCGCCTCGATTTGGCTTCGCGTCAACCCCCGTCCGCTTCCGCGCGCCGCCGGGTACACGTCTTCGATCGCGTCGCGCTCTGTACCGACGACGTCAAAGAAGTCCTCGTGGCCGAACTTCATCACGCGCGTCGCGGGTCGAGCGGATCGCGCGGCGTCGTCGCGAGCGATGGACTGTTGGGTCCGTCCTAGGGTTCGTCGCGCGGACGAAGTTGTTTTGGCGACGCGCATGCTCGCTTCTCGGCTCGCGGACGTCTTTGTCGTAAGCGTGTAAAGCGTTCGCAGCTCGTACGCGGCTCGCTGGATCGCGAGCGCTCGAGGCGCGAGGCGCAAAGTGAAAATGGGTGCTGATCCAGAGGCGTGGGCACCGAGACGGGCGGACGACGCGACGAGCAGCTTTGGGGATCTTAACGGGCATTTTAGTGCGATGAAGACGACGTGTGGGTATTGAAATCAACGGTTATTGGGTATTAGTCAATTTTTCGAGATCGCGTGCGTCGCACGCTGGGCGCGCGCGTGGTCTCGGCTGGTTTCACGGAACTCGCGCCGTCGCCGCGCGACTTGTTCGAGTACGCCTTGAGGTAGAAGTTCCCGAAGAGCACGAGCATGTTCGTCATGACGAACATTTGCGCCCAAGGAAGGGTGACCGGGCAGTGCTTCTGACGCAGCACGAACACGGCGTGCGCGAAGACAATGACGAATTGGAGCATTTGAGCCTGGGTGATGTATCGCTTCCACGGGCATCGAATGCCGAGCGCCGACATGAGATAATACGAGTACATCACGATGTGAATGAACGAGTTGCACGCCGCGCCGAAGTAGGCATCGATACAATCGTTCGTGGCCATCAAGTGACACACCAACCACCACGCCCAGATCAACAGGGCGTGATGATAAACGTGCAAGAAGCTCAACTGCTTCGTCTTCTTGCGCGCAACCATGAACACAGTGTCCAATAGCTCCAAATATTTGTTGTTGTAGTGCAACCACACCCCGAGGAGGATCTTAAACGATTTTCTATCGCTCCACGGCATGGTTGACCCCCACACGGGCTGCCCCAGCCCCGAGATCTCTCGCGCGAACATCCCGAGCACGACGACGTTGAACGCCGTCTGATACGCATTGTACGCCAGCATGAACCCCTTCGGGTCGAACGCCTCGCGCTTCGCCATCAACCTCGGTCCGACCAGGCAGAACAACAGGTACATCGTCGTCGCGATCGCCGGGAGCCTCAACGACAGCGCACCGATCCACTCGCGCGCGTCGACGTTGTCGATGCCATTCGCGTGCGACCACTCAAAGGCGTAGGCGTACGTCGCGTACGCGTACGCGGCGAACGCGATCGCGGGCAGCAGCGCACCGGAGGCGCTCATGGACGCGTCTCGATCCTTCGAACCGCGCGAGGCGTCGCGGAGAGGCGGGCGCGCGGCCGAAGGAATTCTTCAAACGTCGAACCCCTGAGGTTTTCCATGAGTCGCGACTCGGCAATGAGTCCCTATACGTCGCGAAGAGACCCCACAGGGGCGCACGCGCGTCGACCGCACGCGCGCGCGCGCGAAATCATGCTTCGAGCTCGCGCGAACGCTTCGTCGACGACGTCGTCTCGAGCGAGCGCGTCTCGAGCGACGCGAAGAGCGTGCGCGCGCGCGCGATGGGTGAGCGCTCGAACGCAGGCGTCGATCGATGTTCGCGGCGCGCGAGCGCTCGATGCGTCCGCGCGGGCGCGGGCGCGAACGAACGGGACATCGACGACGATGTGTAACCGCGCGCGCGTCGCGACCGTCGTTCGAGCGCTCGAGGAACCGGAGACGTTCACGGATGATGATTTGGATAACATCGTCTTCGCCGACCTGAGCGAGGAGGCGGCGATATCGAACAAGTCGGGCGCGGGGGAGACGATGGCGGCGCCGGATTGGATGACGCAATTGAATCGCTTGTGGGGCGGGGCGTCGGAGATCCCGGTCGCGGACGCGAAGCTGGAGGATATCACTGGGCTCCTGGGCGGTGGGTTGTTTCAGCCTCTCTTCAAGTGGATGCTAGAGGCGGGTCCAGTGTACCTACTTCCTACGGGTCCAGTGACGTCTTACGTCGTCGTGAGTGACGCGGCGTGCATTAAACAGGTGCTATTCAACTACGGGAGTAAGTACATCAAGGGTACGATCGCGGAGGCTGGGGAATTCTTATTCGGATTGGGTGTCGCCCTGCAGGAGTTGGAGCCGTGGAAGGTACGGCGCAAGGCGGTGGCACCGTCTTTACATCGCAAGTATGTCGAGGCGATGGTCGATCGGTGTTTCGCGCTTTGCGCAGATCGCATGACGACCATTTTAGAGGAGGAAGCGGCGAACGGTGCGGTGGGTAGCGTCAACTTGGAGAGCAGATTTAGTAAGACGGCTCTTGACATCATCGGCATCTCAGTCTTCAACTACGACTTCAAGGCGCTCACGACGGCGGCTCCAGTGATCCAGGCCACTTACACCGCGCTCAAGGAGGTCGAGACAAGATCGATGGATCTCCTTCCTACGTGGCGTTTGCCCGAGCAATTTCTTCGCATCGTCAGTCCTCGACAGCGCAACGCCCAAGACGCCGTCACCGTTATTCGCGACGTCACTCAGAGACTGGTGGACGACTGCAAACGCATGGTCGAAGAGGAGGAGAAGGTTGGAGGCGCCGAGGAGTGGGCGCGGGATTACTTGAACGAATCCAATCCATCGGTGCTGAGATATCTCATCGCCGCTCGCGAGGAAGTGTCTTCCACGCAGCTCAGAGACGACTTGCTCTCGCTTCTTGTCGCTGGTCACGAGACCACTGCCTCCGTGCTTACCTGGGGGACGTACGAGCTTCTTAAGCCCGAGAATGCGGAGCAGCTTCGTCTACTTCGCGCCGAGCTTGATGAGGTGCTCGGTACGCGCCCGTATCCGACGTTCGCGGATCTGGCGAAGATGCCATACCTCGAGCGCTGCTTCCACGAGTCGATGCGCTTGTACCCGCAGCCTCCCGTGTACACGCGACGAGCCGTGGTTGAGGACGTCCTGCCTAACGGCATGACGGTACCGAAGAACCAAGACTTACTGGTTTCCATCTACAACCTCCATCGCTCGCCCGCGAACTGGGGCCCGACCTCGCAGCAGTTCGAGCCGATGCGCTTCGGCCCACTCGCGAACGGACAACCGAATGAGTTGAACACAGATTACCGGTACGTGCCCTTCAGTGCCGGACCCCGGCGATGCCCGGGCGACAAGTTCGCCGTGTACGAGGGCATCGTCATCTGGGCCACGATGCTCAGGCGATTAGACTTAGAATTGAAGGCTGGACACGACGTAATCATGACTTCTGGGGCGACCATTCACACAAAGAGCGGGTTGCTTGCCACTGTGAAGAAGCGTGAGGTGCGCGAGGTGCCCGAGGCAGAGCGTGTGGACTGGGCCAACTTGATGCCGGCGAAGGAACTTGGAGGCGATGAATGGTACGCTCCCTGGAACCAACCCGCACCGGCCGCGAGTGGGAAATGTCCGATGGGGCACTAGTGGATATTTTAACAAGATGCAAGCAGCGAGCAGCGAATACACCCTATTTCACGCGCGACGAATAACATGTTAAACTCTTCAAACCGTGCCCTCACGTATTACAATCTAGAAAGGTTTACGAGCGGCACCCCCCAAATTTGTTCCGAAGAACTCGCCTATTCTTCCTCTTCCTCGTCGTCACCGCCCGCGGCGGCAGCCGCGCGCTTGCGCTTCACGCGACCCGGTCGGCCGCCGCCCAGCGGCGAGTTGAGCGCGAAGTCAATGTGCTTTTGGCTATCCGTGCGCACCAAGAAGCTCGGCACGTTCACGATTTGCTTGCCGACGCGAATATGGCGCTGGCGGATCAAGACACGCGCATGGTGCACGGACTTGGCCAGGCCAAGCTTGAAGACGAGCGTCTGCAAGCGGCGTTCCAAGAAGGTTTCCGGCGTGAGCGCCAAGACATAGTCGAGCTTGTCTTGCGTCTCGTCCAACAAACCATACGCGCGCATGCGGCGAATGATAGCCTCACCCTCGAAGATGCGCTTCGGGTCCTTCTCATCAAGCGTAAGCAACACGCGAGCGGCGTTGCGGAGCTTGTTAAGGGCGAACTGCACGCGCCACAACTCTCGCTTGTTGCGAAGGCCGAACTCACCGACGATCTTCAACTCGGCGTCGAGGCGATCCTTCTCGAACGGACGTCTCGGCTTCTTGAACGTCTTACCATCTGCGAATTCGCAACACGGAATAAAACAGTCAGTCATACATTTTTCAAGCGTCGCATCGACGTAGCCGCGTCGTCGCGCGCCCCGTCCGTCGTCGAATGTTCCTCCACGGGAAAACCCCAGAAAACACTCGAGCGACGCGTCCAGTTCGTCCTCTGGACGCGCGCGCGCGCGATATCGACGCGCAGAGGCGATCAAACGTCGACAACGATCATCAATCACCGTTCACCGTCGACCGTGGACGATAAGCGTCCACAATCGTGGCGTCGACGGTGAGATGTCGTCGTCGGCGTAAAACCCCAAAACACGATCGCCCATCGCTCACGACGGTTCACGACGGCCCACGCGCGTCGCTCGTGCGCCCACTTCGTGCGCGAGACGAGATCGATCGATAAACGTACAGTTGCGGTAGAACGTGGAGGACGGCATGGTGACGACCTGCGCGTCGTGCAGAGGCGGATCGCGGACGACGCGCGCGCGCGCTCTTCTCGGGGTGTCCGTTTGTCCGAATTTCAGCGTCAGGAAATTTATCACGCATCGTGGCGTACAACTGTTCATACTGTGATACCTCGAAGGAGATTCTATGTATTCGCTCAATGATGCTCTCAAACGCACCTTTTTACGCGCGCGCCGCTCGTCTCGGCACCACTCGTCGTCGTCCCGATGTCGTCCGCGATCCCGCTCTCGTCCGCGTGCGGGGTCGTGAGCCCGCGCGCGCCCGTTAAAGTGGTGCTCTCTCGAGAGCAGGGCGAGGGCAGAGGCGCTCGAGTCCGACGAAGCATCGGAAACGCGGCGTTTCCAAATTTCGACCCATTCTTAATGTTGGACGAGTTCAAGGTCGCCGTCCCGGCGGGGTTCCCCGATCACCCGCACCGCGGGCAGTCCACGGTGACGTACGTCTTACCAGAGTCCGACGGCGCGATGGAGCACGAGGATTCGATGGGGAATCACGGGTTGTTAGCGGCGGGCGACTTGCAGTTCATGAAGGCGGCGCGCGGAATATTACACGCCGAGGTCCCGGAGAACGAGCGTGTGTGTCACGGATTGCAGCTTTGGGTAAACCTCCCCGCGAAACATAAGATGGACGAGCCCGAGTATCAAGAGCTTCGGGCGGAGGAGCTGAAACGCGCGTCGAAGGACGGCGTCGAGGCGATCATCATAGCGGGCGAGGCGTTCGGCGTCTCGTCTCAGATTCGAACGAGAGAGACCCCGGTGCACTACGTGCACTTCAAGATGTCGCCGAGTAGCGAGCTGAGGCAACCGATACCGCCGGGATGGGCGGCATTTTGCTACACACTCAAGGGTAGCGCCAACTTTGGTTCAGGCGAGCTCGTGGAGGCGCATCACACAGTGGCGCTTTCCAACGGCGAAGGTGAGGACGGCATCGTCGTTCGAGCCGGTCCCGAGAACGCGGAGTTCGTCATGATTGCCGGGACGCCGTGCAACGAGCCCATAGTGCAGCATGGGCCGTTTGTCATGAACACGCGTGAAGAAATCATGAAAGCCTTCTCAGACTTCCAGGGCGGCAAGAACGGCTTCGAGAGCGTCCGCGGTTGGCGAAGTGAGATCCAATACCGCACGCGATGACCGCCGTGCGAGGCTCGACGCGCGATGTAATGTACACAAATATCATGTAGCGACCTCTCCGCGCTTTTCTCGACGCGCGCCACACCGCGACGCGCGCGCATGTCGACCGTACGCGCCGTTCGCGCCGCGATCACCGCTTCGCGCTCGACCTCAAGCGTCATTGCATTTGCTTCGCGCCTCACCGCTCGCGCGTCCTCCACGCTCGCCGTCGACGCGTGCTGGAACTGTGGAGACCTCTCGCCAACGAACCCGGCCGCGTCGAGTTTGGACTTCTTCTGCGTCGCGTGCGGGATGATTCAGCCCCCGCTCGTCGATGGAAATCACTTCAAAGTCCTCGGGGTGTGCGTGTGACGGTTCGACCGCGCGTGCGATCGACTGACGCCGTGATACGACGCAGGGAGGAACGATTCGCGGTGGACGCGAGCGAACTCGAGGACGCGATGAGGCGACGACAAAAGGTTTTGCATCCGGATAAGTTCAGCTCGGCGAGTGAGACGGAGCGCGAGCACAGTGCGAATCAAGCGTCGGCGGTGAATGCGGCGTACGGGGTGCTGCGGGATCCGTTGCGGCGGGCGAAGTACATTTTGGAGACGCGCGGTTGGGGGGTCACCGAGCGGGACGGGCGGGAGACGCCAGTGGATCCGGAGCTTCTCATGGAGGTGATGGAGGCGCGAGAGGACATCCTCGAGGCGAAGGGTGACGCCAAAAGGTTACGCGAGCTCCTATCCGAGCACAGCGCGACGGTGGAGAAGTGCATTCAGGACACGAGAGAAGTATTGGACGCGAAAGTCTTCGACGGTGAACGCGCGAAGGACGTCGTGTTTCGGTTGACGTACTTCGTAAAAGTGATGGAGGAGATTAAGGACCTGCTGTAGTTAGCGCGCGATGTGTTGTAGTTAAATAGCGTCACGGACTAGATTTATCGCTAGAAAGAAATCAAATCAGCGTCCACGACTCCGGCGAGTGCCGCTCGATTCGACTCGCTAGAATTCGACTCCATTCGTCGAGACAGGCGCTTGATGTGCTCCTCCACAATCGCAATTGCCGCTTGGAGCTCCGGATGGGTGACGAATTTGCGACCATGATCGACGTATGATTCCTTAGAAACGATCATCTCCGCTTTCTCCGCCCCGATCTTGTTCCAGTCGCGCAGCGCCGTTGTCTCCAATTTGGCGCAACGCGAATCGACGTAACCGCGGAGCTCCGTGAGGATTCGCTTCGTCTTCTGCTTCTCGTGTTTATCCCATTCGACCACCTCTTGTAACGCATCGACGCGTTTCGAGACGCCATCGATGAGTTCTCGAACTGATGTCGTCGACGGGCGATCTTTGATTGTTCGTTCCATGCTCTCGTGCATGCTGTGAATTATCAAGTCTTGCTCATCCTGTTTCCTTGCCAGATGCATCAGGCGAGCCTGAATCGGACCCGTGTCGCCGTAGCTCGTGGTGGTCGCCGAGTATACGTCTATGTGCATCGACGACTTGCTGAATGGTGACCCGATCGGTGAACGAGCGATGTCACCGCCGAACAGGGCTTCCTGTATCGGCGTCAGTTCTCTTCTCATGCCGTGCACCGCTCGATCTGTTAATTCCGTCAGCTCTAGACGCAGATCCTTCTCCACCGCGCTCACGTTCTCCATCATATTCTTCTCCACAGCCGCGATATTTTGCTTCATTGTTTTCTCCACCGCGGCGATCGACTTCGCTTGCGCCTCCGCATTTGGACCGGCTGCCGCCTTCTCAAGTTTCATCGACACTTCGCACGACTCAACGCGCAATTCGCTCGAGGCAACTCTCGCTTCAAAACGCTCGAACCTCTCGTCGAGGCGGTCTATGCGAGTCTTAAATCCAGCCTCTACGATCCCTCTCGTCGCCTCAGCTTCGCCAAGCACCCGTTTCATAGATCTAATGTGCTCTTCAGCGATATTTGCCAGCATGTCGGCTGAACTCTTCTCGCTCCCTCTCAGTGCGGCGATACTCTCTTCTCGAAGCTCGGCGAACGTCGTGAACTGTTTGTTGATCCACTGCTTCAGTTCATCGGCACGATCTGAGGCGGCCTTCATCTTGTTCACGCTGGACAACACACTATCCTTGAATGCGTTGTCCTCGTCGTTCGTCTTTCGCAACGCCTCTTCGGCGAGCGTGACGGCCTTTCGCGCCTCCTGCGCCGCTTTCTCAGCGTTTCGCGCTGCTACACTATCTACGGATGACTCGATCTCTCGCAAGCGATACTCCATGACTTCGTTCACCGACGATTCCGCCTTCTCACTCACCGTTTGCACCACCTTGACGCCCCATTCCTTGAGCTGCGATGACAGAGCCTCGCCCTGTTCCTGCACCAAGTGCGCGTGCTGCTCTGACGTCGATGCAATCTCTTCACCGAGCGTCGCGATGCGCTGCGCCTCTTTTTCGATATGATCGAGCGCTTGGTGTTTTCTCGCATCAATGGTCTCCACGAACTCGTTCGCCATGGTTTGCATATCCTCTGTCTTAGCCAAGAGTTTTTCAAACTGCTCGTACGTCTCGCGCACGCGCTCCGCGGTGTCGCCCACGCGTCGGACGTCCTCGCGACACTCCTCCGTGAGGCGTTCGATCGACTCCGAGTTCTCGCGCACTTCGAGCAACGCATCATTCACTAAGTTTGCGTCCTGCGACGCACGAACCGCTCGAGCCTTGACGATCTCCAGCTCGCTCGCCAGAGCCGGGATGTCCGCAGAAGCGAGCGCGAGCGCCGTCTGATTCGCCTTCGCGCGCGTCTCCTGCACCTCCACCTCCATCTCGCGCGACATCGTCCGCACGTCAGCTATTTCACCGGCCAAAATATCCAATCTCGAATCCACCGCTCGCGCGCTCGCCTCCGCGCTCGCACTCGTCCGCGTCTCGATCGTCGTCTCCAGCTCGAACAAGTCCATCGCCGTCTTGCTCGCCGTCGTCGCGTGCAACGCCTCCAGCGCCCCCACTCGATCCACCATCGCGCTCGCCACCGCCCGCGCGCTCGCGAGCTCCTCTCGCAACTCCCTCACCGCGTCCTCCAGCGCCTCGCACCGCTTTTCACTCGCCTCGTGCCTCGCCTCGGCTAACTCCATTCGAAGCGCCTCCACGTCCCGCCTCGACGCGTCCGGAATCATCACCATCGTCGTCGGCGTCCCATCCCTCGACCCCCGCTCGACCTCCAACGCGCTCACCCGCCGCGTCAACGCCTCACCCACCGCGCGCGTTCGATCGCTCTCGCGCTCGTGTCGTCGCAGCACGTACGAAACGCCCTCGATCGCCCGTCGCACGCACGGCGTCACGCGCGTCCACTCGCGCTCACCTTTGGCCACGTCCTCGACGCGCAGGAAGTCATCGACGGCGAAGCGTCGGGCGGGCGATCGCGCGTCGGGCGACGCCCCCGCGCGCTCGGGCGTGGACGGGGACGACGCCATGCGCGCGCGCGTGGACGTGTCGGGCGTCGGGCGATGGCGATGGCGGTGGTTGGGGCGATCGTCCACGAGTCATGACTCGTGATTCGTGGGTCCGTCGACGCCCGCCGACGGAGACGCCGACGCGCGCCGACGCCGCGCGCGCGACGACCAGAGCGACGCGCGCGCGACGACGGACTCGGGCGCACGCGCGGTGGAGGTCGATGCGGTGCGCGCGCGCGGGTGGCGCGAGCGCGCGGGCGATGGGGCGACACCCGACGCGCGGACGAAGGGATGGACGACCGACGGGCGCGCGTCGAGCGACGACGGGACGACGCGACGGCGCGCGCGGGCGAACGACGCGGGCGACGACGGAGCCGAGCGAGCCGAACCCGCGGGAGTATAAGATGGCGACCAAGTTGGCGCACGCGAAGACGAGCGTGCGGGACCCGTACGCGGCGTCGTCGCCGCCGTTGTATCAGACGGCGACGTTTGCGCAGCCGAACGCGACGGAGAACGGACCGTACGATTACACGAGGAGTGGGAACCCGACGCGGACGCAGTTGGAGGAGCAGATGGCGTACCTGGAGGACGCGGACCGGGCGTTCGCGTTTTCGTCCGGAATGTCGGCGCTCACGTGCGTGACGCGATTGGTGAACGCGGGTGAGCGGATCGTGACCGGAGACGATATTTACGGTGGGACGTCGCGATTGCTCGCGCAGGTCGTGCCCAAGGTTGGGATCGAGGTCGTGAACGTGGACATGAAGGATCTTGACGCGGTGCGCGCGGCCATTGCTGGAGGGAAGACCACCATGGTCATGATGGAGTCCCCGACGAACCCTCGATTGCAGGTGATCGACATCAAGGCGATCTGCGACATGGCGCACGACAAAGGTGCGCTCGTGTGCGTCGATAACTCGATCATGTGCCCGACGTTCCAGTCGCCGCTCGCGCTCGGCGCCGACATCTCGATGACGTCGGCGACCAAGTTCATCGCCGGGCACTCCGATGTCACCGGTGGTTTACTCGCGGTGAAGGGCGAGGAGGTTGGAAAGAGGATTTACTTCCACCAAAACGCCGAGGGTCTGCACCTCGCCCCGTTCGATTGCTGGCTGGCGCTTCGCGGGCTGAAGACGATGCAGTTGCGCATGGAGCGCCAACAGGCAAACGCGATGAAGCTCGCGAAGTGGTTGGAATCGCATCCGCGCGTGCAAAATGTCAACTATCCGGGATTGAAGAACAATGTCGGTCACGATTTGCACTTCCGTCAAGCGTCCGGAGCTGGGTCTATCTTTTCGTTCACCACCGGAGACGTGGAGTTCTCGAAGATCGTCGTGGAGGAGACCAAGCTTCATAAAATCACCGTCTCTTTCGGTGGCACGACCTCTTTGATCTCCCTCCCGTGCTTCATGTCTCACGCGAGCATTCCCGCCGAGGTTCGCGCCGCTCGCGGCTTGCCAGACGATCTCGTTCGCATTAGCTGCGGCATCGAGGATGGCGATGACTTATTGGCCGACTTGCAGTACGCCTTCGCCGTGGCAGAGGTTCGCGTGGGCAAGAAGTGAGGAATCCACCACGTGGATCAGTTATTCCTATTTTTACAACCTAGAGCAGACTGTAGACGACACATTTCGTTCATCACCGCTGAAGCGACGCCAGCCACTCACGCGTCTCGTACACCGATATTGGATTGTGACTGACACAATGTGACGTCACGCGCTCGCGCGCACTCGTCGACGCGCGCTTTCCTGCGTTCGAAGTTTTGTGAGCATTCACTCGTAACAGTGGACTACGTTTGAGTTCGGCGCACACACTACGGACGATGGATATCATGAGACTCGCGAGTTCGAGGATGGCCAGTGAGCTGGCGCAGAAGAGAGCACCAGCTCGTCTCCAGAGGTCTAGATACGCTCTCGTTCGCGCGACAAACTCGCGGAAAGAAGATGTTTTCGGTGAACCGAACGGGAAGAATGGCGGTACGCCCGAGCTCTTGGAAAGTTTCGCTCTCGGGTCTTCGCTGCCGTCAAATGTAGGTGGGAGAGAGCTCGAGAATGACAGGTGCCGGCAACGATGGTCGAGCGATTTTTGGAGCGAGCTCGAATGCGACGCGACGGAACCGTGGATGATGAGCAACGATCAACAGCCAGGCGGCGCGCTGCGCTCGCAATTTTTACTCAGTCCGGCGTGGCGCTTGATGCTGCTCTCGGATGGATCCGTTACGGTGCGTTCGCTCGAAGAGATGGTCTGCGAGACTGACTTATCAATCTTCTTATTTTCGCGCACGCAGCGACACTTGAAGCTGCTCACCGGTCGCGTTGACGTTAAAACAGATGTCTTATGGCAAGGCAAGGTCCACGTTAGCGCCACCGCCGCGAAGACGAACGGGATCCCATCCGACGTCGCGAACCAACTCGACTCAGGCGGCTCGATGCTACAGCGCGAGGTTGATCTGTGCGACGCCCACGGCTTGCCGCTGTGCTACGCCACGAGTTGGTGGAATTTGGAGAACGCGGATAAAGTTATCCTCGACGACGGCGCCGCCAATTCGTTCGGTGCCCTTGAGCGTCCCGTTTGGCTAAAATTGGCTGAGAACAAGACGGAGCTCTTCCGAGAGGTTCGACGTGTCTATCGCGGCACCTCCGATCCTCTGGCTTCGGCGTGGGGACTTCCGAACTCGACCACGTTTTGGGCGCGTCATTACATCTTTTGGTGCGCGCGTAAGCCTCTGTGCGTCATTCACGAGGTGATGAGCCCGCGGCTCGAGTTGCACCTCGGACCCTCGGACCCGGCGCGCAAGCGCCTCGAAAACGGGTCACGATCATTCCCCTCGGACGATCTCTGGCTCTGATCGCGACCATCTCTCACGGTGACGATTTACTGGTCTTCGAATACGACGACGCACGTCACAGCACACCGCGTCACACCGCTCGTTCCCACCCGCGTCGCCGCAGTCGTCCTCTGCTCGACTCATCCGTCCGCGCGCGTCTGAACCCTTCGTCTCATCTCCCCGCGAAGCGTCATCCATCGTTTCCCCATCATTCGCCCGTATTGAAGCCAAAAAAGCGCTCCAGCTGTCTCTCTGAAGATTCGAGGAATATAAGTACCGAGTCATGACTGGTCAAAGAGTCCCTCGCGGATGATCGCGACGGATTGGCGGGAACGAGCGCCGCCGGGCCTCCGACGTCACTTTACCGCACACGCATCTGTCGCCATGAGCTCCTCCATGTGCGTCGTCGAGACGTCCTCCGCCGGTCGCGAATACAAGGTTCGCGACATGGCCCAAGCCGACTTCGGGTGCGTCATACAGCGATTCGCGTTTGGATGGAGACGCGCGCGATGACGATCATCACGCTGCGATGACGGCGGATCGATCGCGGGCGTGAAGTCGACGTTTGCGATGCGCGCGAGTTCGCGTTCGTCGTGAGAACGCGATGGACGGATGCACGAATTATTATCGAGCGTCGTGGTCGCGCACGAGAGGTTGAGGCGCGGTGCACGGCGCGCGGAAAGGGGAAGTTCGCTCGAAAGTGAGATCTATCCAAAAACAGCTGGTCGGTCCTTTGGAGTCGTGAAGGAAATGAGATCTCTCAGATTATCAAGATGAATCATCTTACGACCGTGGGACGACGAAGGGCTGGGATAGAACGGAGAGATGGGAAATGAAAAAGGAAAACGCGAGCGCGAATGAAGAGAGGATCTTGACTGACGAAGCGTCGAACGCCCGCCACGCACAGTCGTATGGAAATTGAACTCGCGCAAGTTGAAATGCCGGGTCTCATGTCCTGCATCGCCGAATTCGGCCCGGCGCAACCGCTCAAGGGTGCCAACATCTCCGGTTCCCTCCACATGACCATCCAAACCGCGGTTCTCATCGAGACCCTCGTCGCGCTCGGTGCCAACGTTCGTTGGTGCTCGTGCAACATCTTCTCCACGCAAGACCACGCCGCCGCCGCTATCGCGCGCGACTCCGCCGCCGTCTTTGCCTGGAAGGGTGAGACGCTCGAAGAGTACTGGTGGTGCACGGACCAAATGCTCAACTGGGGCGACAAGTCGCTCGACATCATCGTCGACGACGGTGGTGACGCCACTTTGCTCATCCACGAGGGCTACAAGGCTGAGATTGAGTTCGCCAAGAACGGCACCATCCCAGACCCGGCCTCCACGAACAACGCTGAAATGAAGTGTGTGTTGAAGATTATCGCCGAGAACTTGAAGACCAACCCGAACCGCTGGCACAAGATCGTCGAGACCTGCGTCGGTGTCTCTGAAGAGACCACGACTGGCGTCAAGCGACTTTACGAAATGCAAAAGGCGGGCGAACTTTTGTTCCCGGCCATCAATGTCAACGATTCGGTCACCAAGTGCAAGTTTGACAACTTGTACGGCTGCCGTCACTCTTTGCCGGACGGTATCATGCGTGCCACTGACGTCATGATCGCTGCCAAGACGTGCTGGGTTGCCGGCTACGGTGACGTCGGCAAGGGTTCCGCCGCCGCACTCAAGGCTGCCGGCGCTCGCGTGATTGTGTCTGAAATCGACCCGATCTGCGCGCTTCAAGCCGCCATGGAAGGTTACCAAGTGGCTCCGATTGAAGACGTCGTCGGCGAAGTCGACATCTTCATCACCACGACCGGTAACAAGGACATCATCATGGTTCAACACATGGAGAAGATGAAGAACAACGCCATCGTTGGTAACATTGGTCACTTCGACAACGAAATCGACATGGCTGGCCTCGAGGGCTACCCGGGTATCAAGCGCCAAAACATCAAGCCGCAGTGCGACCGCTTCGAGTTCCCGGATGGCCACGGTATCATCATGCTCGCTGAAGGTCGTCTCCTCAACCTCGGCTGCGCCACCGGTCACCCGTCCTTCGTTATGTCCTGCTCCTTCACCAACCAAGCCATCGCTCAGCTCGAGTTGTGGAACGAGCGCAAGTCTGGCAAGTACGAGAAGAAGGTCTACGTGCTCCCGAAGCACTTGGACGAGAAGGTTGCCGCCCTCCACTTGGGCAAGATTGGCGCCAAGCTCACCAAGCTCTCCACGGAACAAGCTGCGTACATCAACGTCCCGGTTGAAGGCCCGTACAAGCCGGCGGCCTACCGCTACTAGATTTGTTGACTGTTAAGTCACCGTCGCGACACGTGGACATCAAAATTTGAAGAAGTCGACGCTGCGACACATTGTTCACGCCCAACGCATTTCACCGTTGGGAAGTCCGTGTGTATCTAGGTGAAAGTTTTCGATTCTAGAGAAGTATATTCAATTCCATGACAACCGTCCCACGAAACACACGCTCTCCCGCGCCGCCCGTACACCTCTGCCTTTGGACCCGATCTTTTCTCTTTCATCTTGTCTCGCCGCGACCACCGCACACACCAACGCGCTCGCCCGCGCCTCTGTACTCACTCTCGAATACACGATGTCCACAAACGCCATCGTCACCGCCATGACCACCGCGTTCGGCGCGACGACGCCGAGTCAACAACAGATCGACGTCGCCAAGTTTACCCCGGCGGCGGATGGATTGATCGCCCTGAACGCGCACCTCGCGTCTCGCTCGACGATCTCCGGACACGCGCTCACGAGTGAAGACGCGTCTGTGTACGTGGCGTGCGTTGAGGCGCTGAACGCGTCGAGCGAGGCCTTGACGCACGCGCGGAGATGGGCGGCGTTCGTGAGCGCGCGCGGAGCCGCAAAGTTGAGCGGCGGCGTCGAGGCGCGGGCGTTGACGCACGCGAATGCGCCGACGTTCGAGCGCGCGCCGGCGAAGGAAACGAATGAGAAGGACAGCAAGACGAGCACGAGCGAGGGTGGGAAGAAGAAGGAGAAGAAGGAAAAGAAGGAGAAGGGCGGCGACGGCGGAGGGAAGGCCGATACGCCGTCAAGCAAGCGCATGGACGTGTCCGTTCTTGACATTCGCGTCGGCGTGATCACCAAGGCTTGGGAGCACCCAGAGGCAGAAAAGTTGTGGTGTGAGAACATCGATCTCGGGGAGAAGGGCGTGCGGCAAATTTGCAGCGGTCTGCGTGCGTTCAAGACCCACGAACAAATGGAGGGTGCTCGGGTGTGCGTCATCGTCAACGTCAAGCCCGGTAAGCTTCGAAACGTGGCGTCTGACGGCTTGGTGCTGTGCACCTCAAACGAAGATCACACTGAGGTCGATTTCGTCGTCCCTCCTGAGGGTGCCGCCATCGGTGAACGAGTCATGTTTGCCGGTTTTGAAGGCGAACCGGAGGAAGTCTTGAACCCAAAGAAGAAGCAACTCGATGCGGTTTCGCCAGATCTCAAGACTAACGCCGAAGGGGTCGCGTGCTACAAGGACATCCCTTTCACCACGTCTGCGGGCGTGTGCACGAGTCCGCTGAAGGACTGCTTCATCAAATAGATTCAACTTTCTTTTGTCATGAAAGATACAGGGCGCGTGCATTAGCGTGCGTGCAAAAGAATCATTTCGCCGCATTGACTACAAGTACTTGTACAAGTACCGGTACTACTAATGATACGCAACAGCGTGCGCGTACTAATAATAGCTATCGTTTTACGCCTTCACACATAATCTCGATGTTGTCAAGCAAACGAACGCTACCAAACTTGGCCGCGACAGCGATGACACAGGGCGAAGACACGTTTCCTTCGTACGGCGTCAGTGATTCCGGCTCCATTACCTGGACGTAATCGACCACCCCGCCTCCACCGTTGATCGCCTGCGTCACTGCATCGACAAGAACACCACACGCCGTGGGCTGTCGCTCCGCGAGCGCTTTTGCCTCGCGCAGGCTTCTATTAATAACTGTCGCCTCGGCCCGCTTCTCCAACGTCAACAACAAATTCCTCGAGCTCATCGCGAGCCCATCCTCCTCTCGCACGATATCCCCTCCTACGATTTCGATAGCAAAATTCAAGTCCCGCGTCATCCTTCGAATCACCCGCCACTGCTGATAGTCTTTTTTTCCGAACACCGCAACGTCCGGCTCCACGACGTTGAATAGCTTCGTCACCACCGTCGCCACGCCACGAAAGAAGTGCGGGCGCGTCTGCGCGCACAGCCCTTTACTCAAAATCTCTACATCGACGTACGTCTCGTGCGCCGGCTCCTCCTTTCCCGGATACATCGCTCTCGGGACGAACACGCAATCCACGCCAGCCGACCGGCACGCCTCCAAATCCTCCGCCATCTTCCTCGGGTACGCCTCGAAATCCTCCCCCGGGGCGAACTGCGTTTCATTCACGTATATCGACACGACGACGCGATCGCACCGCGCCCGTGCGATCGAGATCAACGACAGATGCCCGCGGTGAAGACACCCCATGGTCGGGACGAAACCCACCGTTTCCCCGCTCGTTCGCCTCGCGCGCGTCCACGAGCGCATCGCTCTCGCGTCCTCGACCGTCTCCATCGTGCGTTTCCCTCTCGACGCACGCCCAGCGCTCGACGCGCGCGCGCACGCCGACCTGTGGCTCGCAGCGCGCGTCACGATGTCCACGCGTCGCCTCTCGCGCTCAAACGCACGCCACACGCCGACGCGCGCGCGCCGGGACCGATCGACGCGCCGATCGACGCGCGCGAGGGACGTCAACGTCCCGAGAGCGCATCGAACGCGTCGATCGCCGCGTGAACGCGTCGAAAGGGTTGAGATCGAGATGGATTTCACCGAGCTCGAACACCGAGAGGGCGCGCGTTTATCCTGGAACGCGTGGCCGTGCTCGAGGATCGAAGCCACGAGGGTGGTGTTACCGATCGGCGCTCTGGTGACACCGGGTAAGGACCTCGGGGAACACTGTCCGACGTTGCCGTACGAACCGGTGGTGTGCGAGGGCTGTCAGGCGGCGCTGAATCCGTATTGCGCGGTGGATTACCCGAAGCGAGATCGATGTGCAAAAAATCGTGTCCTCCTCGATTGGCGACGGCCCGAATATCGCTCGAAAACTCGCGCTCAGCTGGTCTAGTAGAGTACTCGCGGAGTGAGGTAACATTCAGCATTACTAACGGAGGTGTGTATTAAAATCAAGAAAAAATCCGCATCAAACCGCTCATCGGCGCTCGGCAGTGCGGACACTTCGCGCATCGCCCCTCTCCAGCGGAGTCGCGCAAACGCGAGACGCACGCATGACAGTACATCAAGTGCAGGCACGGACACACCACCGTGTCGCGCTTATTTGTGTAACATATTGTACAAAGGACTTCCTGTTCGCGTTCCAATTTCATTCGCTCGACCTCGTCGCGCAGGCGTAGGAGTTCTGACTGTTGCTCGACACCCTCCAACGCACACGCGTTAAACGGATCGTCCGGGTCATCATCCAATACCGTACGTCCCGTGATAACGCCAAACTGTAGGTATCTCGAGCGGGAGACGCGTTGGCGTCGGAGATTTTGACGATGCCAAAGCGCATCGGTTGAGATATCGTACGCCGCATCCGCGTCGTTTCGCGTGCCTCCGAGGAGCGCGACACCCCGACCGGGGCCGATACCACTGTGGACATCATCGTCTCGCATCGCCAAGGCGTCGTAGTATCCAGAGCCCCTGGTCAGGATTACGTCGAGCTTTGTGTGCCACGCGGTTTTCTTCGTAACGCCGTGGCCTTCGGGATCTCTTTCGATCCACTCTCGTCGAAACGCCTCGTCCCGCAGCGACATCGCTAGATCGTTGAGTAAGCCCCCGATCACGCGCATTATCCCAAATGCTTCGTTCAGCGCGCTATCGACGCGCGATAGCGTTCGTACCGATTCTAACCACTCTCTCCGCTCGCCGTCCAACCACGCCTCTCGCTGCGCGGTGATGAGAAAAGAAGCCTCCAAATCCCGCATCGCATCCGCCACCCTGCGCACCGGTCGCGCCGCGTCGATCGATCGCACGGTTGTGATAAAAAAGCATCGGACCGTCGACCACGTGGACGATCGCGACAGGTCTGCGACGGCGTCGTCGAGCTAGAACAGAGGTCAGTCCACACGCCTCGGGCAAAAGACGGTTCGTATCCGCGGGACTCTTGCTTCGCACCTCGATGATGAGCGCGCGGAGCTCGTTCACGATGATCCGCCAGGGAAAAACCCCGGGCGTCGCGTTGAGCATGTATGCGTCCCGTCCCGAGGCGACGGGCGCGTGTGGCGTCAAAGATGTAGGCGTGTCTTGGAATTGGAGCCCGCGCATGTTAGTCTTCCCGAGGCGCCTCGGGACGGGACGAGCAGAGCATTCATGTGATCGTACGACGAGAATGACGCACGCGACGCCGTCGGATGCGATCGCGTGATTTACACAATTACAGTCAAAAGCTGTGATCACGAGAGCACGCCCGTGGCGCGCATGACCATGATCGCGTCGCTGCGCGTGGAGCGCAATCGCGCGACGGCTCGAGCGACCGCTCGCTCGCGAAGATCACGCACGTCTTCCGGTCTCCAAGTCGCCGACGAATCGCTTAGAATGGCCATACGTTTCGTGACTTCGTCCAGCCCGACGTCCTCGATCGTTCGAGCTAAGGATTCGAGCGCTTTTCCGTCGGACGATGTCTTCGAAGCGGCGCGCAACGTTTCGGCGGCGACTGACATGAGATGTAACGCAAACCCCACCGCCGTGCTCAGCGCACCGCGCGTGGGATTGAGCACCGCGATAATATCCGCCGCGTGCATCAACGTCACGATCCCCACGAGCGCATCACTCTGTATCTCGACCCGTTCGCCCGTGTAAAAATTAACCGCCACGAATGGACGCGTCTCCCCGAGCGTCGCCCTGTACCACGCGCGCTGACTCGCCGTGCCGTACACGAAGACCAACATCTCTCCGACATCTCCCAATACCTCACGCAACACCCTCCTATCCCTCAACCGAACGAGCGTTCCCGGATACAATTCGCTTCCGTACGCCGAGTGCGCCGCGCCCGCCAACCGCGCAATCGCCGGCGCCCCAAACCTCCCTAATTCCTCCTCCACTCGACGCAAGTGCGCGTCCAACGCGCATCCATTCACGTGCGCCATCGCATTGGATCCACGCGCGCGCAACAGCGCCCCTAACGTCGCCTCCGCGTCCACGGAGACGCGTTCGAACAGGCCACATTCACGCATCGTCCCGAGTCCCAATCCATTCGCACCGCCCCCCCACGACGCCCGCGCGCGATCGCCCCTGGGCAGGCACCACCCTCCCGGCGCGCCGAGCGCGTACCACATCGCGCGCGCGACGACGCCGAGCGCGAACGCGAGCGCGTCGAGCGCCCGCAGCTCCATCGCGTCGGTGTGACGCCGTGGACGCGATGGACATCATCGCCATCGTCATCTCTCGCCCCGCGCCCGTCGCCGCGCGCGCGCCTCGCGGGACGCATGCGGCGATCGTACGCTTTCGCGCGCGCGCGAGGGGCGCGCGCGCGCCTCGCGCCGGTGCGGGGGAGAAAACGCGAGGGATCGAGGCGTTATCCACGCGCGTCGCG